CACCTGCTTTCACCACTTTTATTCAATATAGTACTAGCAAACCCAGTCACAGCAAACAAGCAAGAGAAAGGAAGGAAGTCAATTGTGACTGTTTGCAAAAGACATTATCTTTTTTTTTTTTTTAATTTTTTGGACAGGCAGAGTTAGACAGTGAGAGAGAGACAGAGAGAAAGGGCTTCCTTCCGTTGGTTTACCCCACAAATGGCCACTATGTGCGGAGCTACACCGATCTGAAGCCAGAAGCCAGGTGCTTCCTCTTGGTCTCCCATGTGGATGCAGGGCCCAAGCACTTGGGCCATCCTCCACTGCCCTCCCGGGCCACAGCAGAGAGCTGCGGAGCAACCAGGACTAGAACCCGGCACGCATATGGATTAACCTAGTGCGCTACCGCGCCGGCCCCACAACATTATCTTATATAGAAAACTTCAAAAGATTCCAACCCCTCAAAAAAAAAAAAAAACTATTTGAATTAATGAACTCAGCAAAGCTGCAGGTTATAAAGTAAACATGCAGGGGTTGGCCCTGTGGCCTATCGAGTTAAGCCAACACCTGTGACACAGGCATCCCGTATGGTGCCACTTTGTGTCCTGGCTGCTTCACTTCCTATCTAGCTCCTTACTAATGCAGATGGGAGAGTAGTGGAGGATGGCCCAAGTCCTTGGGCCCCTGCACTCATGTCGGAGATCTACATGAAGCTCCTGACTTTGTCCTGGCCCAGCCTTGGCTGTTGCAGCCATTCTTTTCTCTTCCTCTCTCCCCATAACTCTGCCTTTCATATTAAAAAAAAAAAAAAAGATGAAAGAAATTGAAGAGGACACAAAGAAATGAAGATACTCTGCTGATGGCCTGGAATAATTAATATCATTAAAATGCCCATGCAACACAAATTTATAGACTCAATATAATCTCTATCAAAATGCCAATGACATTTTCAGAGAACTAGAAAATACAGTACGAACATGTGTGTGATGCCACAAAATAGCACTGAATAGTCAAAACAATCTTGAGCAGAAGAAAGTAGGAGGCATTCAAAACACCATCTAGCTTTAAAGTACATTACAAAACTAAAATAATTAAAGCAGCATGGTACTTGCGTAAAAACATAGACCAATAGAACAGAACATACACCCTAGAAATAAACTCACATTTTTCCCCAACTGATCTTTGACGAAGGTGCTAAGAACAAGCTTTCAAAAAAGACAGTCTTTTCAACAAATCAGCCTGAGAAAACTGAGTATCTGCAAGCAAAGGAATGAAACTAGACTGTGTACAAAACACAATTCAAAATGGACTCAAGACCTCAGACTTTGATGCTCTTGGGAAAAGATGGCAAAAACTTCACAACATTGGAGTGGGCAAGGATTTTTTGCAATCAGACCATAAGAGCACAGACAATGAAAGCAAAAAAAAAAAAAAAAAAAATGCAACTTGATTGAACTGAAGAGCTTCAGCACAGTAAACAGAGTAAAAAAGCAACCTACAAAATCGCAGATATTTGCAAGCTATAAATTTTATAAGGGGTTAACAACCAGTATATGGAACCCAATTAACTCAACAGCAACAAAAGGCAGACAACATGCACAAGTTATACACATGACACGGGGTTAATAACCACAATACATACGGAACTCAATCAACTCAACAGCAATAAAACAGACAATTTTAAAGTGGGCAGATTTCTTAAAATATAATTTTATATATGTATTTCAGAGACAGAGCTGTCCAGTCTGCTGATTCACTTCTCAAATGCCTGCAACAGCTGGGATTGGTCCACACAGAAGCCAGGAGGAGCTCAATACAGGTTTTCAGGTTTCCTATCTTGGGTGGCAGGGACCCAACCACTTAAGCTATCACCTGCTGCAAGGTGTGCATTAGCAGAAACCTGGAATTGGGAAAACTGAGGCTCAAACCCAGGAACTCCAAAATAGGAAAACGGGACATGAGTGTCCCAAATGGTCTCTTAACCCACTGGCCCAAATACCTGCCCCAAGCAGATTTAAACAGACATTTCTCAAAGGAATACATACTAATGGCTGATATGAGCATTAAAAAATGCTCAACATCACTCAGAGAAATGCAAATCCAATCCACAATAAGGTATCATCTCACTCCAGTTAGATTGAGAATTATCAAGAAGGCAAAAGATAACAAGTGTTGATAAGTATGTAGGAAAAAAAGGGAGCTCCTTTATATTGTTGATGGGAATGTTAGTACAGCCATTGTGATAAATAGTATTGAGTTTTTTTCAACAAACTAAAAATATAACTACTGTATGATCCAAAAATTGCACCACTGGAAAATTCCACCCAAGGGAAATGAAATCACTCTTTCTGTATCTCTGCACTCCTGTGTTTATGATAGCACTCTTCACAATAGCCAAGAAATACAAACAGCCTAAGTGTGTACCAACTGATGAATGGATAAGGAACGTATGGTACATAGATACCCAAAGGAATAGTAACCAACCATAAAATGGATGAAATGCTCACTACAACAACACGGACCCAAGTAGGGGCCACTATGGTAAGTGAAATAAGCCAAGCACACTAAGACAAACACTGCATGATTTTATTTGTATGTAGCAGCTTAAAAAGTTGATCTCACTGAAGGGTAGAGGAGGGTGATTACTAGAGTTTGGGAAGAGTGGGGGGATGGGGAAACACTGATCAATGGACACTAAGAGTTACATAGTAGTAAGAATTCTGGGGTCCTTTGGCAAAGTAGCAGAACTATATACATGGATCGTGTACTGTGTATTACTCTTAAAACTAAGATTTTGAATGTCTTTACCATAAAGAAATGTTAAATGTTAAAAATATAATGAAAAACAAACTGAGCTAAAAAAAAAAAAAAAACCTCCCTTTGCCTCAACATCTCTGCGTGTGCTCATAATTTACTAAGGCATTCTATGCCCACTGCAGTGCTCAGGTATTCCCAAATAAGCATCATTGTTCTTAGAAGAGGCTCTTTCTCCCCCTTCTCTTGCCCTGCCCTGCTTCCTCCATTTTGAAGACTCCTCTGTGCCTCTGCATCGCCCTCCGCCCCATGGCTGTGCTCTCAGGCTGGCTTCGCATGAAGTCTGCAGCCTTCCAAAGATCACGTGGCACACTTCTCAAAGCTTTTCCTGCTTGGCACTTCCTATTCTAAGAACTCTACCTTTCTGCTCCCTCACTCCCACAGTTCTACTAGCCATCACCACATCAGAGGCTTTCCTTTGAAATCTTGGTACAAGCCTCATGACTCCCTATTGCTTACATTTTGCGCACCTGTGAAAACCAGCCTCATGGGATGCCCAGGTGCAGCCGCCAGCACTAGCTACACCTGGATCCACCTGAACCATGACTGCAACTCACAAGGGCTTCATTGCCCGGGCTCACTTTTACCTCCACTCATCTCCTTAGCACAAGAGTTTTCCACCTGACTTTCTTGTCCCAAACAGACTTGTTCTTCCTGCCTTCTCTCGCTAAGCTACTAATTTTCTGCATGTTTTCCATTCTGTTTCTGATTCTCAGTGTAAAACTTCACCACCACCACCACCCATGCTGCAGCCCAAATTCTTTGCCACCTTGAGATTTCCTCCACCAAACTGAACTAGTTCACCATCTTTAAGTTCAGCCTCCACAGATTCTCAGGACAAGGACACAGGAAAGCCAGGTTCTTTGCCCCAGTGCAGCAAAGGCACTCCACCTCCCAATAGAACTCTCATTGCCACCTGAAACCTCACCAACATCCCCTTGACCGTCCGTCCACTTTTCCACCAGCACTCTGCTGTTGGGAGCCCTGACCCAACAGCCTCTACTGCGAGACATAGCCATAGAACGTTGAACCTTGCCAGCTCCCCCAAACTCTTCCAATCTTTTCTAGGAAACCAATTCCAAAAGCTGCACCCCATTTCCATATATATAGTAATGATTCCACTCCTTGGTACCAATTTCCCGTCTGAACTTTCGCCACTGTAATAAGCCACGAAGGAAGGAAGGAAGTTTGTTTTGGCTCACGGTTTTGGATGTTCGCCGTTCAAGACGGAGTAGCGTCCATCACTTCAGCCACCTGGTCGGCTCAGAGGACAGTGGTAGAGCTTGTGAAGAGGGAGCCAGGAAGCAGAGTGCAAGACAGGGGGCGGGCGGCCCGGCGGGCCCACCCCACTCGGGCTTTTACAACCAATGCCCTCCGGAGAACCGTCTTCCAAGGTCATACCCCCATTATCTAAGTACCACCCACTGAGCCTGCCGCCTCTATAGAGTAATTGGATTGTTTGCAAGCTCTCTCAACAGCAAGTGGGCCTATGAGGGAACCGCAAAACTAATATCCAAGCCATAGCACCGTCAAAGCACACACCCAAGCTCCTCAAATGAGCCCACCTGGCAACTGCCTGATCTGTTATCTCATGTAAAGTATTCTATAATGTCTTTAATTATTCAAACCTGCTTTGTACCTCCTGCACTAGTAACTTCTCTCTCTCTTGCCTATCTTTTATTTAATTCAAAAGTCTTACATTCCCAGAGGTAAAAAGCCGGAGCAAAAGCCATACTCAGGTTTCGTCCATGTGTAAGCTTCAGTGTTGTTTTAGCTTCGTGGTAACAAACCAGTGTGAAAAAGTGGTCACGAGTGGAAACTGACATCTAACATGGGGCGGGCAGTGGAGTGGAGGGGAAGATGCACTTAAATAGGCTTTATTATGGGCCAGGAACTGTGCTTAGCACAGCCTCATCCCATATTTCTTTTATTCCTTTTCAAAACACTACAAGGTAGTTGCTCATCTGCACTTTCCAAATGAGGGGTCGGAGTTCAGGAAATTAAGAAACTTGTCTAAGTGTCCTGCCAAGCCTTTATGGGTCCTTCCAATTTATCCAGCCCGACTCAAACGTTGCGGACTCGGACAACAAGCCAGCACCCTACCCCTTTCCGCCGCGAAACCACACCACGCCCTTCGCAGCCGGAGCCACTCAGAGCTCGCACGGCGGGCAGCAGGACGTCCCCTACAAGACGCGCAGGCCCCGCCCGCTGCGACTCTGCCGACGTCATCACGCAGGGCCGAGGCGGCGCGGCCTCGTCCTTTAAATGCCGCCTTCTCGGGGAGCGCGCGCGACAGTGAGAAGCCTGGGGTGGGAGCGTGTGTGCAGTGGGGTCTGCGGCCGAGGCCTGAGCCGCCGCGGACCATGAGGTGGGCGGAAAGGCTGCCTTGTAGCCAACAGGCGGAAGGGAGGGCGCTGTTTAGTGGGCGGGCGCGCTGGTGGGGAGCGGGAGGAGGGAACATGGCCGCCCCCTGGGCCGGGCGGGGCGCCTCCGTTCCCGGCTGGGGCGCGGCTCTTCCCCCAGTTTTGTTCGCCCCTTGACTTTACCTCCTAAGAACTTGTGAGTCTTTTTTCGTTCTCTTTCTGTCGGCGGTTGGTTTGGCCTTCATCGACTCCCCAGCCCCACTTTGGATCGGAATGTGAGAGGGCCATGAAGTGGGAGCGGCTCAGGCCCGTCCAGAGCCGAGAGGCAGCCTGCAGAATGTGGCTGTTAGTTTCTCACCGGCCACTTTATCGGTGCCCCGGGGTGACCAAGGGAAGCACCGAGCACGGGGAGGTCAAGTCCGAGTGAGCCTGTCAAATGTCATTCAAGTTGCAAGTCCCGCAAATGTGAATCGGGATCTTGCAAGGGCCTAGGATCCTGCCCTATCTCACCCCTTCCCACCTGCCCCAAAAAGTGTATAGCTGGGGAAACGGAAGTGAAATTTACTTTGGCAGTGAAGGGTTGGGGAGCGACTGAGTTAAGATACACGGGATCCAGGCGTGAAGTCACCATCTGCTTGGGCCCTTAATTCCTCATCAGATATCCTAAGAGTGAGACTCCTGGCTTAAGTTAGGTGGAGAAGAGCTCATCCTCCGTCATAGCTGTTCAGTTAGAAAGAACCTGGAAGTATTTATCTGTGAGAGCAGGTGATAGGGAGAAGTTTCTCTACACTGGAGTTCACAGCACGTGGCCTAGCCTATCGCTTGCTTTTGATCCTGACCTTTTGTTTTTCTTGAGTGTAGATCTGGAGGGATTTCTGCCTCTTTTGGAGCTTTGGCTGTGAGCTGACTTGTGGGCTAGAAGTGAAGCGGAAATCTATAAAGATGAGCTCCAACATGACCATGAGCGAACCAATACTGAACTGGTGAGTTGTCTCTCCTGGTAGGCCGCTGAAGAGGCTGGGAGTGGGGCTGATGGTTGGCATGGGAAGCAGAAGATACAAGTTCAGGGTCTCAGAATTTATTCTCACCTTCACCTACTGAACACTATTGAATTACTGCTGACTGCACTTCCTCTACTGACATTCATCACTCAAAATTACCATTAGGTTGATTGGGCTCCTGTGAAGGAGAGATGGTGGAACTTTCTTAAGCCCAAAAACCTTGCCCATTTCCCTACAAGTAATCAAAAGGTCCTTATTAAGAGAAGACGTCGTGTTTTTTTTGTTGTTGTTATATTAGAATTTTTAGCAAATGATAATATAAATGCATAGACTATTTTAAAAGTGAGAATTTTGCAAATGGAGAACCACATGAAGCAGTGCAATGATTCTGTAGACATCCAACTAATACATGTTGCTGCTGTGGATCATTGTAGCACAAACTGAGCCAGCCAAGGAGGATATGAAGGTCACACAGATTATTCAGACAGCACGTGACTCAAAGAATATTAAATCAGAAGGTTCAGTAAGTATTCATTTAATGCAAATGATGTTCTCATCTCCAAGGAGCTCAAACTCCTTCAGGCCCTTTGATTTTGTTGATACACAGAAACCTTTGAATTTAGACAGATCTCACACAGAACCATGCCAGGTAATAAGAAACTCTGCCCTGGTACATATCAAATAAGATATTCTAGTTTTGCCATTAATACCTTAATCAGAGATTTTTTGGATAAATGCCATTAAAAGCAAGAAATGTGTTTAGAAGAGATATGTTAGAATTCCCTGCTTAGGGAATGGGACAACCAAAACTTGCCACTTGTTTAGATTGTTCTGTTGTAGGTTTTAAGAGGTGTGTGTGGGCCGGCACCGCGGCTCAGTAGGCTAATCCTCCGTCTGCGGCGCCGGCACACCAGGTTCTAGTCCCGGTCGGGGCGCCGGATTCTGTCCCGGTTGCCCCTCTTCCAGGCCAGCTCTCTGCTGTGGCCAGGGAGTACAGTGGAGGATGGCCCAAGTCCTTGGGCCCTGCACCCCAAGGGGAGACCAGGATAAGTACCTGGCTCCTGCTATTGGATCAGCACGGTGCGCCGGCCACAGCGCGCCGGCCACAGCAGCTATTGGAGGGTGAACCAACGGCAAAGGAAGACCTTTCTCTCTCTCTTTCACTGTCCACTCTGCCTGTCAAAAAAAAAAAAAAAAAAAAAAAAGAGGTGTGTGTGTCTGTGTTCCATGCCAGTGCTGTAGAGAACGTGTTCAGAGGCAAGGCATTGTCAAACTAAATGTGGTCTAGGACATTTGCACAGCATAATAGCCCTTGAAACTATCCATTTACTACAGAATCCAGCTTATCCTTGTCTTTCCAAGGATTACTGGCTGTCATTATTTTTATTGTTTTAATTCCTTGGCAGCCAGCGTTTCTTTGGAATGCTTACTAAATGGAAAGTATTGACTACAATGTGTTCATCTCTAACTTAATTATGTTACACAAAATCATATCTAGAGTTGGTTTTAGCAGAAATGAACAAAGAGTCATATATTACCATAGAGGTAGTTTGGACAAAGGGGTGCCATTTGTCTCCTTTGCCGTGTTAACAAAAATAGGTAGGACAGTTGTTGTATCTTTTAGCCTGACACAGTAGTGCATGAAAAAAAGACATTAAGTAGCAACCAGACATTTTAACATGCCTCAGAGCCAGGGGTGAGCCCTGTCCCCTAAACTCTTGATTGTGCTTAAGGCTGTTGTTTCTTTAACACTTAAGTTTCTCTGACATGTATTTAATTGAATAAATTATTTACTTATACAGAAAGCAAGATTGATAGTTGCAACTGGATAAATAGTTGCAAACTGGATAATTTCATAATGAGCCTAGGCTTAAAGCTGTTGAAGAAGTAAAACATCTAAGTTCATAAACCTGATACATGAAATTAAACATATAAAGAGGTGAATTAAAAGGTAAAGGGTGTAGAGAGCATGTATTTATAAATTACAGTTGTGTGATTGTAATTCTTAGTCTAATGTGAGATTTTGAATTTGTCAAATTTGCAAGTAAATTACTTTGTTTCCCAGGGACGATTCCCCAAAAAATGGCCTAAAGACGTTTTTCTCTCGGGAAAATTACAAAGATCATTCGATGGCTCCAAGTTTGAAAGAACTATGTATCTTGTCTAGCAGGTAATATGTTTGTTTATTTGGTTATTCTATATTTAATTACTGTTGTCCTGACCGTTGAAGTTTCATATCTCTCTTTACTATTAAACATTCAAATTATAGAAATATAAAAATTTAAAAATAGAAATTTTGGTATTTTTCAGACTTTACACATGAATGTTTATGCATACACAAAATGGATTCATTCTGTAAAACTGTTGTGCACTTTGCTTTTCAAATTTAAAACAATATTTTGTGTATCTTTTATGCCCCTTCATATAGCTCAGTCTTTTTTTTTTTTTTTTTTTTTTTTTTTAGAGACTTTATTTTTTTGTAAATCAGAATTACAGAGAAGGAAAGAGAGATATCTTCCATCCGCTGTTCATTCCCCAAAGAGCCACAGTGGCTAGGTAGGGCTGGATCAGACTAAAGCCAGGAGCCAAAAGCTTCATCTGGGTCTTCTATGTGGGTGCAGAGGCCCAGATACCTGGTACATCCTCTTGTGCTTTCTCAGGCACACATTAGCAGGGAGCTGGATTGGAAGTGGAGCAGCCAGGGGACTCAAACTGGCACCCATATGGGATGCCAGTGCTGTAGACAGCAGCTTAACCCACTGTGCCACAGCACTGGCCCCATAGCTCAGTCTTAATGGTTTCCTGTTCATTATGTAAATGAACTTTTTATTTTTTTAAAGATTTATTTGAGAGGTAGAGTTACAGACAATGAGAGGAAGAGACAGAGAGCAAGGTCTTCCTTCCATTGGTTCGCTCCCCAAATGGCCGCAACGGCCGGAGCTGCGCCAATTCAAACCCGGAAGCTTCCTCCCATTCTCCCATGTGGGTACAGGGACCCAAGGACTTGGGCCATCTTCCACTGCTTTCCCAGGCCACAGCAGAGAGCTGGGTTGGAAGAGGAGCAGCCACGACTAGAACCAGCATCCATGTGGGATCCCGGTGCCGCAGGCGGAGGATTAACCTGTTGCGCCACGGCGCTGGCCTCATGTAGATGAACTTTTAATTCATTTAGCTAGTCCTGTGTTATAAAATATGTTCTTTATTTTTATTCTATTTATAAACAATATGTTGATGAATTTCTGTAGAATCAATAAGAATTGAATCACTTGGTCAGATGATATGTACATTTTATATTTTAGTAAATATTTCCAAATTACCAAAGGTTTTTATTTTTTTCCTCTGGTATGAAAAAGAATATTTTCAATTCTCACTGTACACCTGCCTCTAGCAGCTCTTTTTTTTCTTTCTTTCTTTATTTATGTAGTGATTGTTTTTTTGGTTATGCCTTTATTTTTTTATGTTAGAAAAACTAAAATGAATTTAATTCTGGCCACAGAGATAGAGTCACTTATTCATACCAGCCATATGGTATATTTCTTCCTAAGCCAATGTTCTTTTTTTTTTTTTTTTTTTTAACTTTTATTTAATGAATATAAATTTCCAAAGTACGGCTTATGGATTACAATGGCTTCCCCCCCATACCGTCCCTCCCACCCGCAACCCTCCCCTTTCCCACTCCCTCTCCCCTTCCATTCACATCAAGATTCATTTTCGATTCTCTTAATATCTCTTAATATACAGAAGATCAGTTTAGTGTACATTGAGTAAAGATTTCAACAGTTTGCTCCCACATAGAAACATAAAGTGAAAAATAATAGATGATTTTTTAAATGATGATGAAATCAGATCAGACCTATTGTCATGTTTAATCCCAGTGAGAGTCAAGTTGGGAATTGATAATTTCTTTTTTCTTTTCTTTTTTTTTTTTTTTTTTTTTTTTTCAGAAGATCAGTTTAGTATACATTAAGTAAAGATTTCAACAGTTTGCACCCACATAGAAACACAAAGTGAAATATACTGTTTGAGTTCTCATTATAGCATTAAATCTCAATGTACAGCACATTAAGGACAGAGATCCTACATGAGGAGTAAGTGCACAGTGACTCTTGTTGTTGACTTTACAAATTGACACTCCTGTCTATGGCATCAGTAATCTCCCTATGCACCAGTCATGAGTTTCCAAGGCTATGGAAGCCTTTTGAGTTCTCCGACTCTTATCTTGTTTAGACAAGGTCATAGTCAAAGTGGAGGTTCTCTCCTCCCTTCAGAGAAAGGTACCTCCTTCTTTGAAGACCTGTTCTTTCCACTGGGATCTCACTCACAGAGATCTTTCATTTAGGTCTTTTTTTTCTTTTTTCTAGCAGCTCTTTTCTTTCTGATTGTTTCTACTCTATTGTTGAATCTGAAACCAAGTAATTGAGTTTACTAGAAAGACATGTAAATACCCCAAATGAGGAGTAACAAGCTCCCCAAGAAAGTTCAACATTTAGTTTTTATTTTTTTAATTTATTTAAGGCAGAGTTATAGAGAAGCAGAGGCACAGAGACAGAGAGGGAAAGAGAGAGTCTTTCATCCGGTGGTTCACTCCCCAATTGGCTGCATTGGTTGGAGCTGAGCCAATCCGTAGCCAGGAGCATCTTCTGGGTCTCCCACGTGGGTGCAAGAGCCCAAGGACTTAGGCCATCCTTTACTGCTTTCCCAGGCCATAGCAGAGAGCTGGATCAGAAGTAGAGCAGCCAGGACTTGAACTGGTGTCCACATGGAATACCAACAGCACAGGTGGCGGCTTTACCTGCTATGCCACAGCGCTGGCCCCTCAACATTTACTTTTATCCTCCTGTTTTACAGCGGTGGATCTCCCCATATTTTCTTGCCATCCTAGTATCCTTTCTCTCAGTCACCCCCTTAATTCCAATGCCTTTGTTCTTCCCATTTTCAGTCATCTTGATTCATATTTTAATTTGCTCACTTTTTTTTCCTGTTTAAATCATTTCTGGACCCCTCATTCCCTCCTAGTTATTTTCTTACTACTTATTTGTACTCGAGACTTCTTTAAAAGACTTGTATAAAAGTCTTGTATATGCTTGCTGAAGGAAAATAAGAAGCAAAACGTTTATAAGACCTTGCAAAAAGAAGAAAAAGAACTGTAGAAAACAGTTAACAGGATAGCACCAGTAAGTTCTTCTCTGTCAGTAATTACTTTAAATGTACATGGATTAAACTGCCCAATCAAAAGATGGCTGGGATTGAAAAAACAAACCTTTGATTCACTGCATATCTGCTGCACTTTTTTTCCTTGAACATCCTACTCACATTTCCCTGGCATCCACCACATCTTCTCACTGTCATCAGTAAACTCGCTCCTGTAGAGGTAGTCCACTTTCCCAGTTTCCTGGTTTCTGTGTTAGGTTTCAGACTCTTACGCCATCTTCCTCTTCAGGCTTCCCCCTCTGGCTGATAATCAGACTTCCTTTAGCTTTTAAAATAAGTACTGATTTGGCACTCTCAACCCAGCCTTTTGAATCTGAACCCATGAGGAACAAGGATATATCTGTGAAACCAACTCAGCTTGGAATAAATGAATGTGATATACCTTAATATGAGTATTCCCTCCCTTTTATTCCACCATGAACACAAGCTTTATATAGTAGTCTGTATTATATTCTCTTTCCCAATGTATATTGGTGTTCTTTCCATATTAGTATATATAAATTGACATTTTTATAGTGGTATCATGATCTATTGTTGGATGTATATAATTTTATTAACCTTGATTGACATTTATTTTATTTCTATTCCTTTACTGTTATAAACAGTGAGCATACTTTTTATATGTGTATTACTAGAATAAATTATTACAAGTAGAGGGTATATGTATATTTATTTTGATAAATAGTGCCAGATTGTCATGAAGAACATTAAAGAAATAAGTGCTTTGAGAATTTCAGAAGCAACTTTCTTCTTGCATAGTGCAGTTATAGCATCTGCTAATGTCAGCTGTGAAATATTAGAACAGTAAGATCACCTTATGTATGCATCTGGATTTTTTTTTTAAGTATTTCTGTTAAATTGTATTATTTCTTGGGGAAAACTAATTTCTTAAAACTTACCAGGTAAATTAAAAATTACCTTTGTCTATTTGAATCAAAGAATTCCTACCAATTTTATTGCCTTGATATTCTGATAACATATCTTAACCTTTTTTAAAAAACCTAGCAGTATTTTTGAACTTTTATCTCAGCCTTCATGTTTCAGGCAAAAAATTTCTGATATAAGTCTTTCTTCTACCACTGCTTAATTATTTTAGTGGGGTTTTTTTTCAAGTCTGTTCAACATACACTGGGTGTGGGTTTGGCTTGGTCTTGTACGAGGATATATTGCTGGCGGTTGGGTATACTGAACTCCTACAATCTTTTCTGTTTTTAGAATACGAATTCTTCTGTTTAGGTTTCTGTTTAGCACAAAGTAACATACTAGCTTAATTTGCCTTTTAGTATAGTAAAAATAAAGATACAAGTCATGTTTCTAGTCTCTTAACCTAACCTTACATTTTACTAAATATTGTTATAGTAAAAACTGGATTTTCAAGCTCTATTATTAATTTACAAATGTTTTATAGACAGAAAAACCAGAAAGAATGCAGAATATGTAGTATCACTAATTTTATATGTTTTGTGTTTTCTAACATATTGGCCTAATAGTGTTACCTTTAGTTTTACTGTTTTCAGCATATGAAATATTTGTTCAGCCCTTCTCCTGTCACAAAGTGTTCATTTTTAATTTTCATGTGAAATGCATTCTGTTTTGATTATCTGTGCTCCATAAAGAATTGTAAAATGAAAGGACTACTGGGATAATGTGTTTACATATGAATAATATAGAAAGTTAACATGGTATTATTTTTCTGTAATGCATCAAAAAGAAATTATGTTCCTTATAGAATATTTAGAAAATCTGCCTAAGAATAAAGGAGAAAACTTACGAAGCCTGCAAGCTTTTCGTGTAGAAATAGCCAGTGTAAACATTTTTAATTTTAAAACATTTTAATTTTAAAAAATAAATATAGGATTTGCAGGTATTTATAACTGAGTTTTAATCCAATAATGGGTTGGGAGAGGGAATAGCTTCAAGTAGAAAACAGTAAAGTTTTTACATGTTTAATACCAAAAAGTAAATCAGACTCAGTAGATACAAGAAGACTTGAAAAGGAAGCCAGAAGCACAATTTTCAGATAGTGCTTTTTAAAGAAGCTGTGTACCAAACCAGTAGGCTTTAAATAGGAAACTCAAAGTTTTAGATTCTGCCTGTTTTTTCACGGAAACTTGAAGTAAAAAAGCAGACTGTGTAGTTGACAAAATGAAGGGGGAAAACTTCAAACCATCAACTGAAATAAAACATAATGCCATAACTGTGGATAGAGAAGCCCTGTCAGAGACTCGGGCTTTGCACCCTGATGAAGATTTTGACAGGACTGCACACAGAAATGATCTTGATGTGCTGCCATTTCATTCTTTGCTGAATGTAGCCAATTTAAACTGCTAGAATTTTTTGACATTCCTACTCTGGCATATCTGAGTCAGCATCTTGTTGCTGCAGCAGCTTAATTAAATTTGCCAGTTTGTGCCACGAGGACAGACATGTTCTCATATTCAGAGAGACAGCTGTGAAGCAGTATTGTTAAGAGTTGAGGACACAATACCGTTAGGTTTGAATAGCTCTCATGACATTTTCTAGTGAGAAATCAATTTGCTGTAATACATTTCTCCCAAGATCAGCAGTTAATATTCATTTTGTTAACCTAAAATGTGCTTATTTTTATACAGTTATTGGAGAAACTTTAGTAGCTAAGTATGTCTTCCTTCACCTATATTATTTTCAGAGTCAGTCTAAGCATCCTAACTTCCTAAATTCTTTTCCCATTAACTAATCATTTCTCTTGATTTTTCATCTGTAGCTTAGCTCTAAGAGTTATCTTGATTATTTTGCTTTATTTGGGTGGGGGGCTATATCTTTTCTCAAATAAGGCTCTCATCTTTGAGAATTTTCACCGTATTTATTCTAGTATCATAAAGTTGACTTAAAGTGGAGACTTAACTTGCTGTTTGTCTAGATACAAATCAATGTTAGTAATTCTCAATCATTTTAGGCCAGAGTTCTCCCACCTTTTATAACAAATATTTAAAAGAAATAAGATATTTAATTGAATATTCTGAAATGACTTTAATAGATAATTATTGCATAGTTTTTAAATAATATCCTAAATGTGAAAAGGAAAATAATAGATTGCCTTCAGTGAAAGGGGTTTTTTTTTTTAGTATTTAGTTATTTGAAAGGCAGGAAGAAAAGGACAGACAAGGAAGAGAAGGAGAGCCAGAGGGAGATAGCTTGATTTTTCATTTGCAAGTTTGTTCCCCAAATGGCGACAACAACTGGACTGGGTCAGGCCCAAGCCAGGAGCAAGAAATTCTATTTGGCTTTCCCACATGGGTGGCAGGAGCCTAAGTACTTGGGCCACCATCCACTGCCTTCCCAGGCAGATTAACAAAAGCTGGATCAGTAGCCGATCACCCCAGACTTGAACCGGCACTCTGATTCACATGAGGGTGTCATGAGTGGCAACTTGACACACTGCACCACAACATCCAGCCCAATAAAGTTATATTTAAGAGAAATATTTCAGAAAGCAAAGAAAAAGAAAAGAGAATAAAATGCAGTTAGGGTAAGTAGTAACTATAGATTTGTTTATATATGATAAGAGAAAGCCTAAAAGCACCTGTAAGAGTTTACAAAACAGTATTACACATTATAGACAGCTAGTTTTCTTCACCTTTAAGAATTTTAGCCTCCTTCACCTCTCTCCACCTCTTTTGTGACAACCCAGATGCACTGGGCTTCCAAAATACTCTAAGGAAATTAATTTAACATTTATGATTAAGAACTTCTGCTCTGGATTTCCACCCACTCCACCTCCACCTTACTTTGTCCCTCTTAATCCCTGATCATGATATCTTGAGGATTATTCTCAGTCACCTATTTGGTGTGTTCAGTCTGGACACCTAAGATCTCTACAGTCACATTTTATTGATGTATGTATGTATTTTTTCTTCTCTATTCACTTGTGTGAGCCACTTGATCTTACTAGTTCCTGGAGAACAGAAATTTTCTTGTGCCTAGTGTTGGTTGTGTCTCCAGTATCTAGCATAGGCTGGGACATGATCATCACTTATGTTGATGAATAGAAGAATAAAGACAATCCATAATGTCTGTCTTTCTCATTACTTTTCCTTCCTTTGTGGACTTTTGCTTAATTTAGAGCCAAGTCATAGGAACAGCTTCTGAGGTGGAAATTTGACTTGTAAAGGATAAGAAAATATAGTGTTTTGATGGCCTTCTAAATCCTGATAATGAAAATGTGGGTTACAATAAATGACTAGCAAGAATGTAGAGACAAATAATGATACAAGATAAGAAATTTGCAGTCTTGTATTGATTGGAGTGGTAAGGTGACTTTTTTTGTTTTAAACCATGGGTAACATTTCACAAACATATGATAACCGATTCCTGACCACAATTCTTTTGGTGTAGTTCATTATAAATATGCCAGGTTTTTTCTTTTGCATCCTTAAAAAGAAAAGACTTAGTCATATATGTGAATGATAGAGGATTGTATAACTTTTCTATAACCACTACTTATGCCATAAAATATGGCATATAATGTTGGAATTTTCCTTTTAATTTTTAAGGTACATAGAGGAGACCAGGAAATTTGTTAACTTCAAGTTGTAACCCCATTACATCCTATTCTTACTAACTTTTGTTCACCATATTAACTGATAAATCTTATTGAAGAATGTAATTAATAAAATACTGACATTGTAATAAAATGTAAACACAAAAATACCTGGTATATAATTGGCAAAAATGATTTTCCCCTCTTCAGTAAGTGGAATAAACTTCCAAACAGAAAAACTAGTCTAAGAAGTATGCCTCTTCCTCTTTATCAGGTAACTGAAGGAAAGTTTACAGTGTGATCCTGCCTTGCAAAATACGTTAATCTACACTAAATGGTTAAACATTGAAGTGCAGGTGGCAGAGTTAGGTAATAAGCCAGAATATACTCTGTTAATCACGCATATTCTCCCTGATTGAGAATCATGAAGTTCCATGATAGTAATCTTCATGTGAAAAGCACATATTTGTAAATTGTATTTCTTTTTCCAGACGTGTAGGAGAAAATTTGAATGCCTCAGCAAGTTCTGTAGAAAATGAGCCGGCAGTTAGTTCAGCAACTCAAGCAAAGGAAAAAGTTAAAACCACAGTTGGAATGGTTCTTCTTCCAAAACCAAGAGTTCCTTATCCTCGTTTCTCTCGTTTCTCACAGAGAGAGCAGAGGAGTTATGTGGACTTGTTGGTTAAATACGCAAATATTCCTCCAAATTCCAAAGCTGTTGGAATAAATAAAAGTGACTACTTGCAGTACCTGGTATGTATTTTTTCCTTCAGCTTTAGTAAAAAATATTAAAAATTGGCCAGGAAATACTTTTACATTGTTTGTGTCTATTATGTACTGTCAAATTTACAAAAATGGGGAATGTAAGTTTAGTTGACAAAACATTGATTCTTTAAGTCTCTCGTAGGTTCTGTTATACTTCAGGTGTTTTACTCTACTTCTGAGCATGTCTCATTCCAGTTGATCTTAAGTTCTAGCTGTAGATCAAATTGCTACATCAAAGACTGCCTGTTTTTAAAGCTTTGATCTGGGGTTACACATAAGTAAACTGTTCTGCAGAAGTTTAAACCAATTTATTTGTACCACTCTTACATGAAAGTTTTTTTTTTTTAATTCTCTTTGGTAATACTGAACATTACATTTTTTGTCTCAATTTGATTTGGTGAAAGTGGTGATTTACCTTAATTTAATTTACATTGATCACTAATGTAAGTAAGCATTTTCCATGTGTCTGTAAGCCATTTTTCTTTGTTTTACAACTTGCCTGTTCATATCATTTGCTCAGTTATCCAATGGATTTTTTATTAAAACTTAGAAAATATATTTTTTAATTCTTAAGCATGTTATACAGTATTAGTCATTTACTTTTCTATTTTTCTGGTTTTAGTAACAAATTTATCATTCTAATAGAATTTTCATTAACTTTTTCTCTGGTTTCTGCTTTGAATTTGGTTGGTTAATCCTTCTGTAATTCCAAATTATTAGAGCAGTGATTGAGAAGTTACTTTTACTTAACAAAACTTTTTATTCCAAGACATGTCTACTTTTTTAAAAATCAGGATATGAAAAAACATGTGAGTGAAGAAGTTACTGAATTCCTAAAGTTTTTGCAGAATTCTGCAAAGAAATGTGCACAGGATTATAATATGCTTTCTGATGATGCCCGTCACTTTACTGAGGTAAAAAAAAAAAAAGTCATATATACATAGCCTGCCAACTGATAGGCAGTAGTAGCATTCTAAAATGTGTGATTGCTTGGCCAAAGTTTATAGAACTCAAAATTAGCAATTTAGAAATCAAGTTTTATATATGTTTTACTCATCATTTATATTTTAGATTGTGGATTATAATGACCACTAAGTCATTGTGCTTGGAAATATTTATAGAATATTAAATTTATTCTTATCACTCATGTAATTTTTAAGGCAATAGTGTTAATTTTCATGTGGCTTTATTTCTTTGTCAGTTTTTTAAATAACATGGAAAAATATCTTTAACTTTAATTTTAATGACTGCTAATTTTAGTATTACATATCAGTATTTTAAGAAATGAGATTAAAAATCATGAAAAATAAAAAATTAAAGCAAATAAGTAATGTACAATATATGTGGATTATTAGAAACTTGATTAATGATATGAGGCTAATTTTTGCAATGAATAGTCTCATATAACTGAGATTTTTGTTGCATTATTTCAGTAGTATTGTATGAATGTATTTTTCTTAATTCTTATTTCCTAGCAAATTTTAAGAGCTTGCATTGAACAAGTGAAAAAGTATCCAGAGCTTTATACCCTCCATGAAGTTACCAGCTTAATGGGGTTCTTCCCATTCAGTATAGAAATGGGGTTGAAGTTAGAAAAAACTCTTCTTGTGTTGGTAAGGTTTATCATAAAAAAACTATGTTTTTTTTTATCTAAGACATCTATATTTCATGTAGATTTTTTATTATGTTTATATTTTGGATATTGATAAATTTTTAAGTATGCACTGTAAATCCCTTATTTTATGAATAAAAATGTTTATTATTTTAAAAAATACCACTACTAACTTTATTTTTTGCTTATCTTTTCTTCCTGTCTTCCTTAATACTGCTGAATACAAACAAAATGCCCTTCTTCTTTTAAGGGAATTTAGGTGCATACATTAAAAATAGGTATGGAGAAGATACTTAAGAGTACCTGTTCACATGTATACTTAATAAAAGGGGACGATAGAATTTAAAGTACAGGGGAAATTCCATGAAACCCTTCTCTTGGAGCCTTTTTTCCAACAAACGTGGGTGGTCATTGTCGAGCAAAAACATCAGTGTCTTGGCTTAAACAAGTTCTAAATTTGACATTTGCATTTGGTAGTGTGATGAATTTCAAGTTAAGAGTTTCCTATGGTGAAAGATAGTTTTCTTTGGAAAAGAAAAATATCAGAATGTTGGCAATAAATATTTCATTTCTTATCCAGGGCAGTGTAAAATATGTGAAAACAGTATTTCCCTCCATGCCTGCAAAGTTGCAGCTCTCAAAAGATGATCCTACGATTCAAACACCAGAACAAACAGCCGAAGCTATGCATTATGTAAGTACCAAGGTGGTTTTGGGTCTTTCTAAATAATCTGTCCCTCACAAAATATTTGTAATCTGACTTTCTAAAATCTTCTTCCTTTCTTCCTTTTTTTCATTGCTTTATGAAAGAAATTTTCAGTAAGTATAGTCACATAACAAGTTATATGTTGTTTTTCAGGATATTAGTAAAGATCCAAATGCGGAGAAACTTGTTGCAAGATACCAACCTCAGATAGCTTTAACGAGTCGATCATTGTTTACTTTATTAAATAACCATGGACCGGACTACAAGGAGCAATGGGAAATTCCAGTGTGTATTCAAGTTATACCTGTTGCAGGTTTGTGATTTGCTCTGGCTAGATAATGCTTTCAAAAGAGAGGTGTGAATCATTCCATTTCAACTATCTAAACCTACATGTCCACTTGTCAGAAATAAAAATATGTTTTCATTTAAGGAAGTTGTAACTTTGGAATTTATCCTCAGTGGAATTTTTTTCATATATAAAACTATAAAATTGACACTTTTCCCATCTGTAGCAACGTTGAGGGGGAGAGGTAGAGAGGTTAGTACAACTCACAGTGGCTAGAAATACAGGAAATGACGAGGTTCTTCTTTTGACTGAAATAAAGAAGAGTGCAGTACTTTATTAGCAACCTCAAATGAATTGAGGTTCCAGGACTTAATTACTTGTCTGTTACGGAATTAAGGGAGGCCTATGGTTAGAAGCAATGGGATTATATTTCTTTATGGTAAAGTTAATATTTGCACATTAATTTCTCCATATAAAACATCCCCCTTACTGTTTTGGCTCATATTTAGTAATTTTTTTAATCTTTCAGAATTAATGTTATTTGTAACAACATAAGTATAATGAATGAAAGACTGTCTAATGAAACAAAACTACAGATTTGAATTAAATATAAAATATTTTCTGTGGTAAAAATTAATAGTAAAATGTGAAATACTTTTTAAGTCTTATTAGAAAGAAAACATGTTTCTCTTGCCAGTTAGATTCTCTTGCTCTTGGGTCTTTCAGGGACTTTAAAATTTTCTTGTCCAAAGGTGGCAAATATATGAGACATGTGCTACTACTGTTCCTTGTTTCTTTGTTTTGTGACCCTTCTGTCAAATATTCTGTTTTATTTTTTTAATGTAACTGTAGATATTGATCACCCATTCTTCTGTTTTAAGGGTCAAAACCAGTTAAAGTAATTTATATCAATTCACCACTTCCCCGAAAGAAAATGACAATGAGAGAGAGAAATCAAATGTTCCATGAAGTTCCATTAAAATGCATGATGTCCAAAAACACATCTGTTCCAGTCTCTGCAGTATTTATGGACAAACCTGAAGAGTATATATCTGAAATAGACGTATGTAATCGTTTTCTTTTCCTTAGGGAAATGTGCTTGTTTATCCTTTAGAAGCACAAAGTTTTATTGCAAGTTTCTAAACCTAGTAGTTGAAAGTAGAGGCTTTGTTGAATTCCAAGGGGCAGCTGTTTGGCTTAGCAATTAAGACGCCCAATTCCATGTTAGAGTGTCTGGATTTGAATCTGTGCTCTGTTCCGGATTCCAGCTTCCTGCTAACGCACACCCTGGGAGGCAGAGAACATGTTAACTCAAGTAGTTGGATCTGTGACACGTACGAGGGAGATCTGGATTGAGTTCCTGGCTCCAGTTTTGATCCGGCCCAGTCCCAGCTCTTGTGGGTATTTGGGGAGTTCTCTGTCTCTGCCTCTCAAAAATAAATAAATGAATTGAATTCCAAATCCAGCTAGACTTTAAACAACTAATTTAACTTTCCTAGGCCTCAGTGTTCTCTTTTTATAAAAGTGGAGCCAGCATTGTGGTACAGTGGGTTAAGCCACCACTTGCAATGCCAGCATTCCATATCTGATAGCCGCTTCCAATCCATGCCCCCTGCTTATGTGCCTGGAAAGGTAGAGGAAGATGGCCCAAGTGCTTAGGCCTCTGCCATCCACATGGGAGATCCAAATGGAGTTCTGAGCTCCTTACTTCAGCCTGGCCCAGCCCTACCCTCAGCTGTTGTGGCCATTTGAAAAGTGAACCAGCAGATGGAAGACATCTCTCTGTTTCTCTATTGTTCTCTCTCCCTCTCTGTCACTGTGCGTTTGTGTGTGTGTGTGTGTGTATGACTCTGTCTTTGAGACAAATGAATGTCTAAAAAAATTTTTTTTTAAGTACAGGCCAGCATTGTGGCACAACAGGTTAAGCATCCCATATGGTACTAGTTCAAGTCCCACTTCTGATCCCATTCCCTGCTAATGTACCTGGAAAAGCAGCAGAAGATGGCCAGAACCCTTGGGGACCTACAACCATATGAAGACCTCGATGGAGTTTCAGGTCTTTGGCTTGGCTTTGACTTGGCATGGCCTTGGCTTTTTGCTGCCATTTGGGGAGTAAACCTGCTATGGAAGATAGCTGTCTGTCTCTGTAACTCTGCCTCTCAAATAAATTAAAAAAAAAAAAAAAAAAAAAAAAAAAAAAAACTACCTCACAAGACTGTTGTGAGGGTTAAGTTCATGTAAAGAGTTAAGTATCATGTAAGATGCTGAGCATAGTTCTCAGTTTCTGTATCCTACGAACTTGGTGTCAGTGGTAGTTAATATGAGGTTTTAAATTAGTTTGTCTCATTCCTATTCAACAGTTTTCAAGTATGAACAGGAACAGGTAAGTTTAATTTGATTGATCCAGAAAGTATTTGGTCACTTTTTTTAAAAAAAAAGATTCATTTACTTATTTGAAAGGCAAAATTACAGAGAGGCAGAGGTAGAAGGAGGTCTTCCGTTCGCTGGTTCACTCCCCAAATGGCCACAACAGCCGGAGCTGAGCTGATCTGAAGCCATGAGCTTCTTCCAGGTCTCCCACATGGATGTAGGATCCCAAGGACTTGGGCCATCTTCTACTGCTTTCCCAGGCCATAGCTGAGAGCTGGATCGGAAGTGGAGCATCCGGGACTTGAACAGGCACCCATATGGGATGCTGGCACCTGCAGGTGGTGGCTTTACACCACAGCACTGGCCCCTGGCCAGATTTTTAATCTTTGCCTATTCTTCATAGCTTTGTGACCTTGGGCAAATTACATAATCTGTCTGTGTTGTTTGCTTATCTGTAAAATTAGTATTACATTACATGACTCAAAATTGTTGGGTTTAAACAGGTTAGTATATAGAGCAAGGCTTGGTACTATTTTTTATGTTTTAAAATATTTTTTCTGTAATTATTAAAGTAAAACATCTTATATAAAGGAAACTTCATTCATTCCACAAATATTTATTGAGCAGATACTGCTCTATGCATCTAGAATTTAGCAGTGAATAAAAGCAGTCTCTTCTCTCTGAGCTGTATTAGTGGTGGAGGGCACAGATACTGGATAAAGCAACCTCTAAAATGAAGGAATTTGTAAATGCTATTGGAAAAAATAGAGTAGATGAAGGAGAAATAGAGGTGAGTGGATATTGCTGTTGTATTCATGATCAAGAAGGTCTTTTTGAGGACAGGAAATATGAACATAGATTATAATTAAAGCAAGAAGCGAATAAAGTTAAAATATGATTAAAAATATTTTTTTACTTGGGAGTTCATATAATTTTGAGGATATTGACCTTTGTCTTTTATAGTTGTTTTATATGTTTTTCTCTGCTATTTGCATCTTAATATTTTTATGATTTTATATGTCATAAAGTTCTTTCAACTTACGTTTTCTTCTTTGGCATTCTGTTTTAATGTGCTAAAAACATACTAGCCTGAGGCAAGCGTTAAGGAGTAACAAGTGCTGTAAAGAAACATGAAGTAGAAGTAAGAGGGATAAAAAGTGAGAGTGACTTTTAGTAATGGTGGGCAATTGAATCTTTCTCTTGGTGACAACTAAAATGCTGGACAAAATATTAAAACTTCTTTATAAGAAATATCAGAGCTCTAACAAGATAGTAAGGAATTACAGGGCTGAGATCCTGGAGAAGACAGAAACCTAGAAGATAGGACTGTCACTTAGAGGCCACTGAGAAAATGAACTTTGCTTTTGGTAGCATTTCCTGAGAGGCTAAAGAGGTAAAAGTCAAAGTTCAGTTTTCTGTCAAGGGCTTGGACACCATACTACTAGGACCTGTGTTCCAGGAGTTGAGGTAGATCAGAGATAAATCAGCTTCCTCAGAGATTGTAGCCTGAGTTTTCAGGCCCCGAACTTGGAGGCACATGCTTTTTTGGTTGTTACTAATATACCTAGACACCTAGCAAAAAAGTGAAATAAATAAAAATCTGTAAAAAAACATAAAAAGTGAAAATGATTCTTAGGAGAAGCTAATGTGAGCTTAAGCTTCAAATTCTGATAGTCTTGATATTTAATGAATGATTTATATTCTGATTTCTGGTTCTTTGTAATTATTCTGTAATTAATATTTTGAATTTTCTTATGCAACAATTAGTTTTCAAGTGCTTCAGTTCATTGCTTAAAATTTTCTTAATTTCTAATTTGTATCTCAGCAGAGTAAGAGCTTAGCAGATTCTGCTTTGTACTCTATTGAGATTTGCTTTGTGTATTAAGTTACAGTCCATTTGTGGGCATGCTCCTTGGATTCGTGTTAAAAAAAAATTAAGTGTGTGTGTGTGTTAGTAGTTTTTCAGTCCTTCATATATATTTCTTTAGTCATTTAATTAATATTGTTCATCCTTGGTATATTCTTGCTTATTTTTCCTTATTAGAGACATTGTATCATTGATCAGGTACAATTATGCTTCTGTCAGATTTTCCTTATATTTTTTCAATTTGTATATGTGTATGTTTTCCTGAGAAAGTACCTCCATCCCTTGGTTCACTCCTCAAATGCCCTCAATGCCTGCCCTGACCAAGACTGAACCAGGAAGCCGCAAACTCACTCCAGGTCTCTCGTGTGGCTGCAGGAACCCAGTTACTTGAGCTTTCCCATTGCTTCCCAGGGTTGCTATTACCAAGAACTGAATCACCAGCCAGAGCTAATAGTGAGTCACTCTAGTCTGGAAGAACCTCTAGGCCAGACACCCATCCCAACTATATGTTTTCATATTGTTGTTTGATGTGTCACAATTTGTGGTTGTTATGTATTCATCAATTTCATCTTTGTTCAACATAGAGTTCCTCTCTTTTCTGACCAAAATCTTTTGTGTTGATTTATGCTTTGTCTAATACTGATACTACGTTTTCTCTGTGCATTTTGATATGTACAGTTTTTTCTTCTGTTTTCTTTTTTAGGAATAGCTCAGGGAAGCAGCATTAATTTTACTTTTTTAATACTAAATTTAGCCTTTTATTTTTAAAATATTAATTGTGAGGCAGAGTTACAGACAGAAGGGTCTTCCATTCACTCGTTCACCCTCCAAATGGCCACAGTACCAGAACTGGGCCAATCCTAAGACAGGAGCCAGGAGCTTCTTCCAGGTTTCCCACATGGGTGCAGGATCCCAAGCAGTTGGGCCCTCCCAAGCACATTAGCAGGGAGCTGGATCTGAAGAGGAGCAGCTGGGACTAGAACTAGTGACCAGGCAATGGATTCACCTACTGTACCACAGCGCCAGCCACTGTTGTCGTCTTATTCATGAACCTTTTAGAACATTTAGACTTTCTACTTTTTTAAAAAATTTGAGAAGCAGGCAGACAGAAAAAAAACAGAGCTCCCATCTGCTGGTAAACTCCCCAAATGCCATAATGGTCAGGCTGAAGCTGGGAACCAGAGATTCAATCCAGATGTGCCACCCAGAGCTATCATCTGCCTCCCAAAGTCTGCATTAGCAGGAAGCTGAAACTGAGAATGGAACTGGGAACTCAAACCCGGGCACTCCATTGTAGGATGCAGACATTTTGACTAGTATCTTAACTGCTAGGCCAAACTTAGTAGTATTCTGCTTTTAAAGAACATGAGCTGTATTTAAGGAATAGGGACATTATTAAGGGATAGCTGAAGAGTGACCTGAAATTGTTACTAATAACTTGCTAATATGCTTTCTTAAGGTGTCCTATGAAGTTAATGAGTGCCGAAAAATTGAGACTCTTGAAAATTTGGATCTGGGTTTTGATGATGATGTTACAGAACTTGAAACTTTTGGAGTAACCACCAGCAAATCATCAAAATCACCAAGTCCAGCAAATACTCCCACAGCCCCCAAAGCAGCAACTAAACCTGTGGCTCCACTTGTACCAGATATTCAAGCTAATTCCAGAAGTTTATCTCAGATTCTAATGGAACAACTGCAGAAGGAGAAACAACTAGTTACCAGTGTGGATGGCAGCCCAGAGGAGTGCAAAAGTAAAGATGACCAGGGATTTGCAGTTTGTGGTGACAACTTAAGAAATTCTGAGAAGTCTTTGCTGCATGATAGTGACTTGAAAACGTCTGATGCCTCACAACTAGAATGTTGTAAGGAAACTGAAAGCTCTAATAAAAGTGATATGCATGCTGAGAGTGACAGACTGAATGTTCTAGCAAATGCAGGTAATTTAAAGGAAAAGCCATCAGAAGCAGCTGAAACTGAAAATGAAAATCTTTGCAGTAGCGATACAGATGAGGACTGTTTAATCATCGATACTGAGTGTGAGAATAACAATACTGTAAAGACAGCTGTTGTGGATTCTAATTTAAATACTAGACCAGCTAGCCCAAATTCTGCCTCAGGACCAGCTGCTGTAGCAAACCAGACCAATTCTACCTGTAGTCCTGAAGAGTCCTGTATTTTAAAGAAACCTATCAAACGAGTATATAAAAAATTTGATCCCGTTGGAGAGATTTTAAAAATGCAGGATGAGCTCTTAAAGCCTATTTCTAAAAAAGTACCTGAAATGCCCTTAATTAATTTGGAGAGCTCTAAACAGCCAATTTCTGAGCAATCTTCAACTCCTCTAGATGCCTCTAGTTGGCCAAAAGCTGGATGGACTTCTGCATTTCAAAAGCCAAAAGGACGTAAGTAAATATTTCCAAAGTTCCACTGTTTTATCTGTTCCTTTTTCTAAGATTTTTTTCTCTCTTCACTCTTTGTTAAACGCTGTTTTGTCTAATCTTTACTTAGTTGTTAATGTTTAAGTTTTCAATCTATCAGTAAGTTTAAATCATCCTTTCTAGGTAAATAGCCAGAGGTATAAGGGTTTTGTAATGTGTATTGAACATGTATAGTGGCTGCTAAGCCGTAGGTAAAATGGTTTACCAAACTGCTGAAGGGGAAATGTATCAGAAATAATCATAAATGTTAATCGATCCAAAATTTACTTCTGCTTGGTGTTGGACTATATTTGGTATGCTTTGATTTTGTAAAATAAATAAATTTGCTCTTCAGCTTTGCCTATATTAGAAATGACATCACTTTTTCAACATTTTTTTCTTCTCCTATTCTGTCTCATTAATTAATTTATTTGTTTATTTGAAAGGCAGAGTGACAGAAAGGGAGTGACAGTCTGCTTGTTCACTTCCCAAATGGCCAGAACAGCCAGGGCTGGGCAGGCTGGACCAAGCCGAAGCCAGGAGCCCAGAACTCTGTCTGGGTCTCCCACACTGGGGACAGGGGTCCAAACACTTGGGCCATCTTCTGCTGATTTTCTCAGGCATATTAGCAGAAATCTGGATTGGCAGTGGAGCATTTGGGACTCTAACCAATGCTGATATGAGGTGGTGGCCTTACAAGCGATGGCCTAACCTGGTGTGCCACGATGCCCCCATGACTAATTAATTTATATTTTGCCTAGAGTTGTCAAGGTTTACAGTTAAAAGGAAGAGGACCTTAAAGCTTTGATTTCAGCTCTTCCTGCAATTCCAATAGAAGTAAACAGAAGTGGCAATACTGTGAGCATCAGCTGAGTGGAGAAAGTAGAAATTTAAAGTTGATAGAAGTTTAAAAAATAGTTTAATTATTTTATCCTGGATTATGATAAAGGTGAATGTAAAATAAATATGAGAAACATTATTTTAAAGGGTTGCCGTATGAACTTCAAGACCATGTTGAAGATACATCGGAATATCTAGCTCCCCAGGAAGGAAATTTTGTTTATAAGTTATTTAGCCTGCAAGACCTGTTGTTACTTGTGCGTTGCAGTGTCCAGAGAATAGAGACAAGACCACGTTCTAAAAAACGGAAGAAAATCAGAAGAGTAAGTTTTCACTTATGTCATAGTCTAAGTAGATAATCAGCAACTTAACATGCTAATATTATGAAGTTTAATTTTAAATGAATGATCATTCTTATAGTATGACCAGATTGAAATTTTAGTAAAATAATGAGATCAATATTAATAAGATAAAGTACTTAATATATATATTTATAAATGTCTAACTTGCATGGAATTTATAAACTATGAAAACTGCACCATCATAGACTTGACCTAGATTGGCATATACATTCCTGGTTTCCCCTGTGAATTTGAGTATCCATTATGACACATGAGTTGTGTGTCATTTTAAAAGTCTAAGTACTTTCAGAAATGGACTTTCACATACATTTAAAGCATTTCCAGGATTGTCAGAAAACCAAATCTCTTCTTTCTCCTGTTTTTCTTTCTGGGGTTTGATATGAGTATTTTCCTCAGTAAAGCAGTTTGTACTACAATTTGAAAAAATACTTATTTCAACTTTTTTTAATATTTGAAATTCTCCCTTCAGATTAGTTTTTGTGCTTTTTGTTTTGTTTTGTTTTTGCATTTGACTACTAAATCCTGGTAACTAAAGAAAAGCTACCATGTTATAATTGATGATGTAACAAGTACTGAAGTGCCTTTCCTTCAGTTTCTCTTAGAATTGTTTTCTGTTGTATATATTTGTCATCGTTCATACTTTTGTCTCTTTAAGTTTTAGTGTCTCTGTCTATTGTATATAACCCACCATCCAATACGAATTTTCACTGATAGCTTTATTTTTGGAGTGTCCATGTGATTTGGGATAGGAATTAGGTAAATTATACAGAGTGATATTTCTACATTGGTCCCAATTGTATATTCCCCTACTCTGTCATATTAATAACAGGTAAAGAAGGCAAAGAAGTGCTAACCTTTCCATGCTAGTAAGCATAGTACTGTGAGGGTTTAACTACCACAAAAAACTAACTAACCCATCCATGCCTAGTATGTACAATTTGTCCACCAGAACCCAGTGGACTTGGTAGAACTTTTACTTGATAATATTTTATTCTTTTATTTATTTTTGTGAAATGCAGAGTTACACGGTGGAGGGGGGGAGGGTAGGAAGGATAGACAGAAAGGGGTTCACTTCCCAAATGGCTACAATGGCTGGGATTAGGCCAGACCAAAGCCAGGAGCTTCTTCCATGTCTTCCATGAAAGTGCAGGGGCCCAAGGACTGCTTTCCCAGATGCATTAGCAGAGAGCTGGATTGGAAGTGGAGCAGCTGGGATTCAAACCCACACCCATATGGAATTCTGGCACTGCAGCTGAAGCTTAACTTGATATACCACAAGCCAGCCCCAAAGTATCGAAATTCTAAATTATTAAATTCCTGCTTATCCTAATTTAGTTTTCATCAGTGGGTTAAAGCAGAAAAATGTTTTTTATTTATTTTTATTTGAGAGGGATAGAGATTAAGAAATTTCCTACCTACTGATTCACTCTACAAATGCCTATAAGAGGTCAGAGATGAGCCAGGTGGACCTTAGTCTGGATCTCCCACATGGGTGGCAAGGACTCATGTTCTCCAGCTATCACTGCTGCCCACTCTTTATTAGCAGGAAGCTGGAATAGGAAGTGAAGCCAGGACTAGAACCGAGGCACTCTGATATAGTGTGCAGACTTCCCATGTGGGTAGCTTAACTGCTGTACCAGGACCCTACCTCCAAACTGAAAATTCTAGAATGCTGATGATTTTGAATAAAATGGGGAATTTGTTTGTTTTTAAGGTTTATTTATTTATTGAAATAGTTACAGAGAGGGTGAGGCAGAGGCAGAAAGAGGTCTTACATCTGTTGGTTCACTCCTCAAACTGCTGCAACAGCTGGGGCTGGGCCAGGAACCAGGAGCTTCATCCCAGTTTCCCCCATGGGTGCAGGGGCCCAAGCACTTGGGCCATCTTCCACTGCCTTCTGAGGAACATTGTCAGGGAGCTGGATCAGAATTGGAGCTACCAGGTCTCGAACCAGTGCCGATATGGCAAGCTCTGCAGGGCAGCTTTACCCCTTACACCACAGCAGTTGCCCCAGGGAGTGCTTTTTATAAAAGAGAATCATGGAATGATAAAATATTATAGGCTTGATATTAATCTTCTGTTAGATAAATGCTAATATTCTCTGAATTATAGGACTACACTTTATTTGCTATTTCTTCTGCCTCATCTATATTTAATTCTGATAAATTTATCAGTCCTAGGGTTGGATATTTGGAGTACCTATGGTGTCAGTGTTACAGATTGTATTTTCAAGTTTTGTTTATTTCTTATTCGCTGTCTTTGTAATTTACTTTGGGTTTAACTTCCTACCCAGTGAGCCCATACCACTTTATATTTCTCTTTCAGCCTACAGCACTTAGAAATTGTTGATCGCCAGTATCTCTTAAGTAAAATTAGCCTAGGGGAAATGTTAGGTACTGATTTAGTTTCTGAACCAGACAATTTGGTAAGGATATTGTCATTCACTTGATTAAAGTAAAATCTATAAATGTCAAGCATTACCTATAGGAGAGAATTAATTCTTCATTGTAGTTTGTCAGAAGAGTTGAGAATGTCTGAGAGGATGTGTTATTTCTGTTTTGTCAAACCCAAGAGTAAAATAAAATTTCTACTGAGTGGTTATTGTATTGCTAACATATATTGTATTGCTATCATTATTTGTGATGTTTTAGTGCACATGGTTTAAAAATCCCCTAGTAGAATGTATGCCCCATGAAATCATGTCCTATACATGTTTCTCGAAGATGTTGCATACCAGAGAAACTCAATAAACAGATACTGAGTAAATGAGAAAAACTGAGGAGTAGGGAGGGAGGAAGTATTGTTAAGGGAAGGGTTTTTAAAATGGTACTGTTCAGTTAGGTGAGGATGCATCCTCAGTATTTCCTACCTAAAACCTGTTGTGAAGGCTCTAACCTTCGATGTCCAAGAACGTCATCTCTCCTCTGTTTTCGCCTGATTCTTCAAATCTGCATTATTGTAGCTGAGACTTGACTTTGCAATATCGTTTACACTTCCTCATCAAAACTCTGCTTAACAAGAGCTGCGTTTCAGAGAACTTAAAACAGCAGCCAGTTTCAAAAGATGCAGTGAATTGAAGAGGCTAGTTTGGACCACAACATAAAGCTGGAATTTACTGAATTCTATGCATAATTATGAAATCCAGACCAAGTAACTTTGGATGATTTGGTATTATCTGTTATTGTCTGCTTCAGTTAGCCAAATATCCTAAGTACTATATTTTGAAGTGCTCAAAAAAATTAGATGCAGTTATTTTAAAATTTCTATTGCCATTCTAGATCCAGAAAAAAGGATCTTGTAGGTGCTAAATGTTAGGAAAAATAGAAGGTATCTGAGGGGATTGGTGATAGGGTACTAGCCAGGGAATATCTTTTTAGGAATATATGTACAGGTTTTAAAATTTCGTATGAGAAAGTAGAAGACAGAAAACTAAGAAAAGCTTTCCCTTGGGAAGAATAGGAGCCATCTATCAAGGGGAAAAAGAAGCAGTGAACTTACTTTTTACAGTATGAAAATTTTGATTGTAAATTTGAATACTAAGATAAAATATTCTTTCTCCCTGGCTTCCTGGAGATGGCAGTAGAATACATATAGAACTTAAAACCAGATTTAGAACTTGGGTTTTTAGATGTGGTAATGTTATCAAAACCCACCAAAGTATTTACTTTTTAACATACTTTACAGAAATATATATATTTTTGAATTTAGAAAATATATGTAATTTAATATCTGTTATATCTGTTATCCATTCATGATCCAGAAAGATTTTCTTTTAATCTATTCTTTTCTGATCTTGCTACAAACTACCTATGTGTCCTTGAGCAAATATGTTTGGAAGGCGAAGTGACAGATCATCCTATCTGCTGTTTCACTCCCCCAAATGGCCACAATAGCCAGGGCTGGGCAAAGCCAAAACCAGGAACTCCAACCTGGCCTCCCTTTTGGGTGGCAGGGACCCAAGCGCTTGAGCCATCACTGCTGCTTCCCAGTCACATTAGCAGGGAGCTGAATTAGAAGCAGAATAGCTGGGACTTAACTGGAACTTTGATATGGATGCAGGAGTCCCAAGTAACAGCTTCATCCACTGCAGCACAACCCTCAGCCTTTGAGCAAATTTCTTAACCCTCCGGGCCTTCATTTCATCATTAGCTTCTATTTTCTCTGAAGTTATAAGAGAATAAATCATATGCAGTTTATCATTTGCTGATGAATAATACAATAGAATGAATGGTTTTAACAGTAAAATTAACCTAATCACAATTTAGCAATTTTTCATTGAGAAGATGCCTTAGGGTCCTAGCCATTCAAAGCATGGTGCCTGAAACAACAGCCTCTTAAAAAATCAAAACCCTTGAGGCTAGCACTGTGGTGCAGTGGGTTAACACCCTGGCCTGGGGTGCCGGCATCTCATATGGGCGCCGGTTTGAGGCCCGGCTGCTCCGCTTCCAATCCAGCTTTCTGCTGTGGCCTGGGAGGGCAGTAGAAGATGACCCAAAATGCTTGGGCCCCTGCACCCACATGGAGACCCGGAGGAGGCTCCTGGCTCCTGGCTTCAGATTGGCGCAGCTCCAGCCGTTGCGGCCAATTGGGGAGTGAACCATCTGGTGGAAGACACCCCCCCCCCCCGCCTCTCTGCCTCTCTCTCTCTGCCTCTCCTCCTCTCCTCCTCTCCTCCTCTCCTCCTCTCCTCCTCTCCTCCTCTCCTCTCCTCCTCTCTCTCTGTGTAACTCTGACTTTCAAATAAATAAATAAATCTTTACAAAAAAATTCAAAACCCTGGACACCAATCCAGATTCTACATTTTACAAGATCACCAGGTTATTCATATGCACATTGAAATTCAAGTAGCACTGCTTAAGAATTTTACAAACTTCAAAAGGTAATCATATGAGCTGCACTAAAAAACGTACTGAATTTGAGTTGTTTTTGCCATCAGCTTTCTGCTAAGCCCTCTAAATCTGCCACTTTGTGAAAATTGGGAATTGAGAAACATTGATGGAATATTTTCAAATCTGTCTATAAATGGCAATACCTTAGTTGAAGTTTAGAAGTCCTGGATAGTTATATCATTTCAGTTAAGTTCCTTGAGTCATGTATGTCTCTTTCTGCAGCTAGAAATGGAGAGACTCCTGTGAGGAATAGAATTTTCTTTGACATACGTGAGATGGCACAGGCACAGTCATTTTACTTGATCTAGTTTGTGTCCTGACCAGTAAACTCTGAATAGATAATTTGTCAGATCTTCAGTGTCTGGAATGAGGCATTCATATTATGAAGATGACATCCCCAGGTGTTGATATTAGTGCTCATTCACTGAAGAAAATGAGCTGCTCAGAGTTTAAGCCTGAGATAATATGACTAATGCCTTAAAGGGGCAAGAAATAAATCCCAGCCTTTTCTATCCTGAGAATTATTAGTATGTTTTAAAGTTACTGCTTCCAAGCACCTATCTTTGAGCCATTGGGCAATTATCTATGACAGGCTGTATTGTAAGGATTCTGCTGTCATTCCCATTCCCTGATAGAAATAAAATATATTCATATGTGAGGATGTATGTTGATTTTGGGTGGAGATGGCAGTGGCTATGAGAGATCTGTTTTATCCATCACTCTCTTGCCTGCATCTGCCAGGGACTCTATTCATGAGGCTTAAATATATCCATCTTTCTGTCTGAATCCTGCTCTGTTTGAAAGAGTGAATTAAGATTACCTGAAAGTATTTGAAAGTGGTTATGCTGTATAGACAAATATATTGGCTATTAGTAGTAAATTAATGGAGCTTTGAAAAAGTATAATCTTGCATTACAGCAATTTCCAGTTTTTGTACTACCAAAAGTAGAATATCAAGGTTGTTATGGAGTTGAAGCTCTGACTGAAAGTGAACTTTGTCGCTTATGGACTGAAAGTTTATTGCATTCCAACTGCTCGTTTTATGTTGGTAAGTTATGTAAGAGTTGTTGTTCTCCTTTTTAGTTTCCTTGTAAATTCACACTTTTAATTTTTAGACTCAATTATAAATTACTGCCATTCTGTGCTTTTTTCAACTTTCTAATTGTGTTAACATTTGAAAGTACTATTTAATTGTTTTGACATGTACATGTATCTATATTTTTAATTTTTCTAAAATTATGATATAGTCTGCAGGAGGTTGGTTTGCATTTGTTATGTTTGTATGTAGTTAACATACTTCACATGATAGATGACTGGCCAATCATTGTTGGTTTCTCCCCCTCCTGGAATGCCAATTCTGTTCATTTCATACATTTCAATCCTTCCTGTCTCATGTTTCTCTCTTTGCAGTCTTTTACTTCCTTTGATCTCTCAGTACATTTTCTTTTACTTCCCTTATGACTTGCTTCTATTTGCTACAAAACTTTTCTTCCATCCATCCCTGTTTCCTATTAGAAATAAGTAGTTTTAAAGTCAGAGTCTGAGGAAACTGTATACTCAGAGTACTTAGCATAATTCCTGATATGTAGTAAGTGCTTTAAAAGTGGTTTTTCTTGCCTAATCATAAGAAGGTTATTGGCTTGAAATGTTTTTTCCTATTTTGAATAATCAGTCAATCCTTTATTTTCGTATTTTTTGAGAATGTTAGTGAAATAATCACTTCAGTCTTTGTGCCTAACCCTCAAAGGAAACGACTGATTGTACTGCTTGAAGGAACACTGCCTACCCCGCTTTCCCCAAAATACACACTGCCCAGAGTGTGCTGCAGCAGGTTTTTTTTGTTTGTTTGTTTGTTTTGTTTTTTTGTTTTTGTTTTTTTCTGGACAGGCAGAGTTAGTCAGAGACAGAGAGAAAGGTCTTTCTTCTGTTGGTTCACTCCTCAAGTGGCCGCTGCAGCCAGCACACTGCGCCTGACCGAAGCCAGGAGCTAGGTGCTTCCTCCTGGTCTCCCATGCGGGTGCAGGGCCCAAGGACCTGAGCCATCCTCCACTGCATTCCCGGGCCACAGCAGAGAGCTGGCCTGGAAGAAGAGCAACCGGGACAGAATCCTGCACCCCAACCAGGACTAGAACCCTGGGTGCCGGCACCGCAGGCAAAAGATTAGCCTAGTGAGCCACGGCACCAGCCTGCAGTAGTTTTTAATTACCAGGATTTTCATGTTCCTCCAAAAGATCTCATACTATAACAGTTTTCCTATAACCTGTATGAAAGCAATTCCCAGCACCTCCATTTTAGGAGAGGACAGACCGAAAACTTATCACTAAACTCTTGAATACTGATGAAGAATGGAGATTCATGACTAAAACATTGAAAGTTTGAGCTTTTTAATGAGGGATTTAACAAATCAAACTACCATCCCATAAAGTAGTCTTAAAATTCCTTAATAATCATTGCACTGTGTGCTGGTCATCCTTAGTGATTCCTGTCCACTTAAGAGCGGTTTACTTCAGTGTGAGGAGATGGTATATTTGGTCTCTGTGACAACTGTTTAGTGAAAAATATGTATTACACTGTTTTGAGTCTTTAAGTTGGTTTTGATTTTCATATGGGCATACATATATGACAGCACATTTTAAAATGCTATTTTAAAAGCAGCTATGAGTTTTTTTTTTTTAATGTTGTTAGAGTACCCTTTTAATTAAAGGAAAGTGTTCAGGAAAACCACTTGAAAGGCTTGTTGAAGTAGATTGCTGGCCCCAGCCCTTCAGTGTCTGGTCTGCTGCATCTCTAACATGTTCTCTGAATATGCTGAGGTTAATAATCCTAGGTCCACACTTTGAGAACTTCTGTAGCTCATAGTCTGTTTTTTGTGTAGAATAAACACACTTGTTTTTCCTTTGTTTCTTTGCTATAGGTATATTCCCCTCTTTCCCTAATTTTCGATACTCTCTTATCCTGTTGCCCCATAAAAATTTAGTCTTTTAAGAAAATTTCCAAAGTCTCATCACAACTTCTTTGTCCACCCTGCAATCCTATAATACGTGTCAATTCTGTGTGATTGCCAAAAACTTTAATAAGGACCAATTGCAATAATCATGGTGTATTAAGTGTTGGTAACTGCATGAAGTACAAACTTCACAGCTGGCCCTGTGGTCCACAGATCACTATGTAAATAAGAGATGCGCATCATGGTCAGTCACTTTCAGAATGTGTCTGTGGTCACTCTGCATCTTTCAGTTCATGTGTGGAGAGCAAAGAAACAAGAGATACTGCTGAAAGTGAAATTTGAACTAAATGTAAATGGAATTATAGAACTATATAGAATTATATAGTTATATAATTATATAACTATATAATATAGTTACATATAATATAGTTATATAGTTATACAACATAATTATATATAGAATATATTATATATGTGATATACGATATATTATATATTTTAATATATAATATGTACAATATAATTATATATAGAATTATAGAAGAACATATAGAATACATAGAATTATAGAAGAACAGTGGGAATATTGACATTGCAACTGTTCACGAGACTCTAGATTTGCTGCCACAGGAAATTCATGAAAGCAAGCATACTGATACAAATGAGGAAAGTAGCTGTGACATAAAAGATGAAGAGGTGACACTAGTATAAGATTTTATATTAAGGGGCCGGCACTGTGGCATAACAGGTAAAGCCTCCACCTGCAATGACGGCATCCCATATGGATGCCAGTTTGAGTTCTGCTGCTCCACTTCTGATCCAGCTCCCTGCTCATGGCCTGGGAAGATGACCCAAGCCCTTGGGCCCCTGCACCCATGTGGGATATTAAAGGAACTTCTGGAGATACTTCATATCATTGAAAGCCCAAAGGATACCATGAGAGAGCTGATCTTAACTTAGAAAGGAGTGTAACAATTCACCACAGCATAGAAAAAATGCTTGCTTTCTATCATGAATTGTGCAAGAAGAGAACAAACACTGTTCAAACTACTCTTGATAAGATTTAAGGGAAAAAAAGACTAATTCTCAACATTTCTGATGTTTTAATTTACAGTTTCTGAGTAAATATTTTAATTATTTTCTGTGTTCCTCTGTATTTATAATTGATGGAGAATTTATAATGTTTTGACAAAAGGTATAAAAGGAGCAGAGAAAAGATAATTTTTCCAATTGATTATTAAATTCACTTTCCAAGTTTCTTCCTGTATGGTCATTTGTATGGTTGTGCACTGCATGTAGAGTGTGTCTATATGTACTGAATGTATGGATGTTTGTGTGAATGAATACCTGTATATATAAAGGCTGTATTTGTGCTACACAAAGCAGTGCTTTCCAGCTTTGATGCATTTGAAAGAGATTTGTACAGCACACTGTTGAAGTACAGAGATTGCTCACAGCTAAAGGCAACGGCCAGGAAGCTTTTGCCATCCCAAGCCTTGCTTAACTGCCCCAAGGACTGAGGAGATAAACATCGCAAGCATGTGTATTATTCCTTTATGGCCTACAGATTAGAAAGCCCAGTGTTGAAAAATTGGCATCTTTTGGGGGAGATAAGCCCTCAAAGCATAAGGTGTTTTCTATATAGTTATTTTTGATAGGCCATATTTGAAGTGTATATACCTTCTATCATCGAGCTTCTTTAAAAAGTTAAAAACTGTAAGTCTCCTCAAAGACATTTTAGTAAACATCTTAAATATATTGCACTTAATATGTCCTTTTTATAGTTAAGCCATTAACATGTGTCTTTGTTATTAGAAATGTCACTGTATAGTGAGTGTTAGAAATGCAGAGGTGAAACTAAAACTTCAGAAATAACAAGTGGGAGTGGGAACTACTGGATTTGTTATCTAGGAAGGAAGTCATCTGGTAAAAATGTTTCTAATTAAATTATTTGTGCGTTATGCAAATGAAAGGGGGCTGAATATGGAAATGAGGTAGTAAATTATGTGCATTTTTGTTGTCCCAGTGATTGACATCAGCTTTCTAGGTAATTTGTTTTGATAATTAAATATTGAGAATTAAAAAAATAAAGACAGAAATGGTATTACTTTCAACATCAGTGATTTACACTCTTTGCCAATTGATGTTCTTAACTATACTACAACAGCATAGCTTTTATGTTGAAGTGATTATGTAACATGTAACGCAGGATTATCTTTTATATCATTCTTCCTTGGCAAATTATACAACCTCAATGTTGTGTCTTAACCTGTTTTGCTTTAGAACATACACAATACTTTTTTAAATGCACCCATGTGGGAGACCTGGAAGAAGCTCTTGGCTCCTGGCTTCAGATTGGCTCAGCTCAGGCCATTGCAGCCATTTGTGGAGTGAACCAGCAAATGGAAGATTTCTCTCTCCCAGTTTCTCCCTTTCTCTTTCTGTAATTCTTCTTTCAAATAAAATCTTTTTTTAAAAAAAAAATTATTTGTTTGAGAGGCAGAGAGTAACATCTTCCTTTTGCTGGTTCACTCCCCAAATGGCTACAATGACCAGAGCTGGGCCAGTCCAAAGCCAGGAGCTTCTTCCAGGTCTCCCCCGTGGGTGCGGGACCCAGGAACTTGGGCCATCCTCCATTGCCTTCCCAGGCCATAAGTAGAGAGCTGGATCTGAAGATGAGCAACTGGTACACGAACTGATGCCCATATGGAATGCTGGCGCCACTGGTGGAGGCTTAGCCTACTACACCACAGCACCAGTCCCAAAATAACTCTTTTTTACAAAAAAATTTATTTTGTTACAAAAAAAATCTTGAAATGCATGCATAGATTTTTTTTGATAGAGCTTTTTGAGAGTTTTTTGAATTTCTGATTTGGAATTAGGAAAATCAATACTTGAGCAGTTATTCTTAAGTTGTAGGCTTAGAGATGATATTTTATGTGTAGTCTGGTGTAAGTTTTTCAACATTCAGCAAGTATTTTAGATTGAATACATATTTCTTTTGTAATCTGAATTTTTTAGGACATATTGATGCATTTACTTCAAAACTTTTCCTGCTGGAGGAAATTACCTCAGAAGAATTAAAAGAAAAACTGTCAGCACTCAAGTAAGAAAGCACTTTGTGGTAGGATTTGAAAAACCTGTTAACATGATGGCTCATTTTCCTTTATTTCTGGATATTGGTTAACTTAAAATAAATTATTTTCAAGACTTTTCATCCTTTTTTATATTGAGGCTTCTCATGACCCATCTGTGTTAACCATCTCCATCTCTTAAATTAAATATAATACCAGTAGCACCAGACTTTCTGCCTAAGACACAAGAGTCTAGAGGCAGAGTGGCTGTCACCTGGAAGTGCATGGGAAGCACGCACTCTGCCCCTTTACAGGGAAGGGCAAGGATCTGATAGAGATGCTGAGCTCTCAGGTTGAAACAGAATGAAGTTATTCTGCTCAGACCTCTAAGCACCTAAGTGCAAAGGAAAATAACCTATGAATATGACCTCATTTATATCTCACAGCTTGCTAGAAAAGGCTGATTGTAATATCTCCATTTTACTTTAGGAAAACTTGTGCCTCAGAGCACATGTCTGAGCTATTCAAATTCTTGGTAGTTGATGTTTGATTCACCACTAGGGATGGGAAATTGTCCTGACTTATAATGGCAGCATAGTTCCAGCTCTGGAGCTTGACACAATTTCTTAAGTTTCCCAGATGCAGACTTAAAACTTTGGCTTCGGCTTGTTCTTAAATACATCCACTTGTATTGTAAGAATTGCTTTTCTTGAGCAGTAACTTTTTGTTACAGACGTAAACAGAAAAGCTTTTCCATGCCCTATTCACTGCCTGCCTCATTTCTCTCCATGAAAAGCATTTTGTAAAAAAAAAAAAAAAAAAGAAAAGAAAAGAAAAAAGGAATGAATTTAGTCTTAGAAGTAATAAATATTACAAGTGTTTTGATTCACACAAAGTCAAAATACTTTATGAAGAGAAATCAGGAAGTGGCAAAAATTCAGTAAATATTCCAAATATAATTTTGGTATTCTTTGACTTGCATTATCTCATCTGTTCAGATGTTAAGGGAATATCTCTTCTAAAGACCTGTAATTGTTTGTTTTTTACTGTTTTTAAATTCAGGATTAACATATAATACTTGAACATTTTTAAGGACTATGCAACTTTTCAACATGTAGACATAAGTTAAACCCACCATACCAAGAAATCAGCCTTCCCATTTTCTTATCTTTGTGTTTGGAGTCTACCAGCTCCTCTATTCCAGGTTTTCATAGAGTACAGTGCATCACCATGAGCCATAATCATGTCATTGTGCTGCAAAACCCCGGGACCTGTTACAGTATCCCTGCTGTGCTCTTCTTCCCTTGTCCAACCTCTTTCTACCCTTCCTGGCTGAGGAGCTGTAATTGTTAGCAGTAAGAGTTTTGTGGATTAATTTCACATGAATTTCTTCTGTTTAATAGGATTTCAAGTTTACTTAACATTCTCCAACACATTCTAAAGAAATTAAGTAGGTAAGTGTTTTGGGGGCCTTTTATTATATGTCTTCTTTTCTTTTTTAAAGATTTATTTGGGGCCGGCACTGTGGCACAGCGGGTTGACACCCTGGCCTGAGGCGCCAGCATTCCGAATGGGTGCCAGTTGGAGACCCGGCTGCTCCACTTCCAATCCAGCTCTCTGCTATGGCCTGGGAAAGCAGTGGAGGACGGCCCAAGTCTTTGGGCCCCTGCACCTGTGTGGGAGACCCAGAGGAGACTGCTAGCTCCTGGCTTCCAATTGGCACAGCTCTGGCTCTTCCGACCAATTTGGGAGTGAACCATCGGATGGAAGACCCTGCTTGTTCACTCCCCAGATTGCCGCAGTGGCTGGAACTGAGCCAGTCTGAAGCTAGGAGCTTGTATCTGAGTCTCCCGTGTGGGTGCAGGGACTCAAACATTTGGGCCATCATCTACTGCTTTCCTAGGCTATTGCAGAGAGTTGGATTGGAAATGGAGCAGCCGGGACTGGAATCAGCACCCATATGGGATGCTGGCACTGCAGGCAGTGGCTTTACCTGCTTCATCACGGCTCTGGCCTCAGTGTCTTCTTTTCTTAGATAAAATTTCTTAGACACTTTGAAAATATTCTGTTAGGGACAGATAGAAAATAGCCCAGGAATGCAAGGATTGTTTTAAGAACAGTTTTCTGGAGTTCCTTTGTCAACTTGTATTTCTTTACTGTTAAGTAAGTTAAGGAAAATCTAACTTACTAAGTTTGTAGGCAGATCCATAAAACAGAAATATGATTAATCTTTAAATAATATATCGTGGGAAAGAACTGAGGTACTCCTTTGATGCAGAGTAGTGCATAAACCCAAGAAAGTACAAAGTATTAATTATACCTATTTAGCTCTTCATGGTGATATATTGGATCCCTTAGAGCTCTCTATAGAGAAAGGGAAAATGTGAATTTGATGTTTGACTTACGAGATTATTGTGATAGTAGAGGGTCACGATTAAGGGTATGGCCTGTGGAGTTTAACTGCCTGTGTTTTGGTAGTCAAGCCCTATACTAAGAGCTTGGGCAGATTGCTTAGCTTCTCTAATTTGTTTATTTATCTCCAATGTGGGGTAATATGTTATGCCTTGAAAGTTAGTTATGGAAGATTTATTGAAAAAATTAATGTGAGTGGTATAATTGTTGTTAGCCCATGATAGTCAGTACCTGCTAGCTGCTATTGTTAGTATTATTACCCTCCTGGAATCTCACACTGATTTATGATATTACTTCATTGGCTGTTTCTGCCACTTTAAACAACTCAGTGTAGTGAACATGTTGCATTGACTTCTCTATTCACCTGCTATTAGATACAAAAAACGCACAGTGTAGAATGAAAAATGTGTAGGAATGCTTTTCAGTGTATCTCTTGTCCACACACTAGAGAATTCAGACTGTTTCACATAAAATTATTTTTTAAACTTACACATTGACTTATGTAACAGTAAAAATAATCAGGTATTCTAAACTTTGGAATAAAGATTAGTTGCCTAAAAGGTGTGAAGGTCGTTAAAAAGACACTTCTTAAATCTTATTTGGTCATAAAAGTACTTGTAAAGGTTGTGTTCTGTCTCTATAACTGTTTTTAATTTTACTGATTCCATGAAGGAAAAAAAATTTTACTGATAGATCGTAATTAAGAAAGTGTTATTGAAATTGATGCCATGAGCCCATAGTTGAGCTTCATTGTGTGGATTTAGTTTGCAGGAGGGTTCCTACTTGTTATCTCATGCTGCAGAAGATTCTTCACTCCTGATCTACAAAGCTTCTGATGGAACACTTACTAGGACGGCATACAATTTACATAAAACTCACTGCGACCTCCCTGGTGTACCTTCCAGCCTCTCAGTTCCCTGGGTCCCATTAGATCCCAGTCTCTTATTACCGTATCATATTTATCACGGAAGAATACCTTGTACCTTTCCACCTAAATCACTGGGTCCCACAACACAGCCAAAGGTGAGACATATTCTGAAATCAACTGTTCTATTAGGTTTATTTTTACTGTCTTATTATTATTTATTATTTTACTGTCTTATTTTACTATCTTATTACTTATTATTTACTTATAATAGGTCCTATTAGTCTTTTTTACTGTCTTTTATCCTGGTGTCCACATTTACTATATTATTCTCAGCACCATTATAAACTGTGTATCTATAAGAAAAGTAGATAAAGTTGTATGCTCTGCTAAATCCAGCCTTGATGCTAGTGTAACTTTCTTCTTACAAGGTTTATAAGTCAACTAAAGAAAATTCTTTGAGCCTGCTCCGTGGGTGCATGAGTTACGCATCCACATAGTTAAATCCCTATGTTCCTCTGAAAGGCAAAGTTACATATTTTCTGGTAAATTTTATTTCTGTATATTTGGTATCTGTTCATTAAATATTTGAAGCAGCATGCAGAAGAATAATATAGCCAGTAAATGTATGATATTAAAAATAATTAATAAAGTTTGGGAATAATGTCAGGTGCTTTTTTATTTTACTCTGTGCAATTGTGTATTAAAACAGCTTAGCAAATAGCATAAACTTAAACAGAAATAACATTAATTTTAGCAATTCTCTACCAAGATATATTTATATTTGAAAGACATGGAACCAGTATAATGAACAGCTACCTATACTCTAATGTGCATTACACATTACTCAGTATAGGTTAGATGTGGAAACAATGGACATATCTATCTACACATGAATAGACTTGAAATGTGGCAAATAAACACAATGGGGTTCTACTGAGCCTTCCATAATGAAATTCTGTCACTTTTGACAATTTACTTGAATATAGAGAATATCACATGAAGTGACAAACCCAGAAGGACACAAAAAGACAAATATATTATCTCATTTATATTTCAATTCTGAAAAACTGCAATGCATGTTAGAGGTAAGAATGGTGAGTAATGGGGGGAAGTAGTGGAATGAGGATACAGGGAACACATTGGTCAAGGGGCACAAAGTTTCCAGTAGACAGCATGAATGAGTCTACAGCTATACTGCACAGCATGGAAATTAAAATGCTGCATTTCATATTTCAAGTTTCTAAGCGAGGCTTTTAAATGTTCTCACTATAAAATACATGTGAATATTTCTCATTTGAAAATCCCAGAATTAACACTCATCAATGATCACAGCATATCCTACAAGTACAGCATATCCTACAAGTATGTATAACTATTTCTCAGTTGAATATTTTAAAAAGGCAAAGATTATCAGGTTACACTAAAAATAAACAAAGAATAATATAATGTGTATAATATTAAAACCATTTTAACTTTTTTGTATTAATAAAAAGAGAAATGTTCCATGCATTCCATAGCAGGATAAAATTTTTTTTTAAAAAATTTATTGGAGGGGCTGGCACTGTGGCATAGCAGGTAAAGCTGCTGCCTGTCAGGTGCTTTAAAGCAGATATTACTAATTAGTGAATGAATGTCTTGTTAAAAACACAAATAAAGCATTTAGGACTGCATTGTGTTATGTTTAGTATTGTATAGCTCAGTATTTATTGAATTACAATTAGTGTTACTTTCTTGATACAATTCATCCCAGAAATGCCAGTTTAATGATATCTCTTTCTCTGAAACTTTCTCTATTAGGTCATTTATTCTTTGTATTTGCATTATATAAGAAATTCCAACTTGAGTTTGATTGTAGGTAAAGTTTTGTTCTCTACCAGTGAATCTAATGTTCAGGAAACAAAAACTCAGTGTATCTTTCTTCCGTGCTGCCAAAAGTCAGAATTGCTGTCCCTGTTGTATAATTTTCTCAGTACATTTGCCCCACAACACCAATCACTGTGTGTCCTCTGAATATTCAATTCTTCTTTCTTTTCTGTATTATACTGGATTAATTTGTAAGTGTCTTTAAGTCCTTTTGAGAGATACCTGGAATGCAAATACTGAGGATGCTTTTAATAATTGACAGTGAAAGGGGTGGCTTATGTTTTTCAGGTCTCCACTCTAATGTTACCACTCTAATGTTACTTTTTTTTTTTTTTTTTTAGAAAGTTAGAGAGAGGCAGAGAGAGAGAGGTCTTCCATCTGCTGGTTCACTCCCCAGATGGCAGCAGCAGCCAGAGCTGGGCCAATACAAAGCCAGGAGCCAGGAGTTTCTTCTGGATCTCTCTCCCACATGGGTGCAGGGGCTCAAGCACAGCTTTCCCAGGCCACAGCAGAGAGCTGGATTGGAAACGGAGCAGCAGGGATTTGAACTAGCACCCATATGGGATGCCGGCACTATAGGTGGTAGCTTTATCTGCTACACCATGGCTCTGGCCCCTCTAAAGGATCTAAGGATCCTTTTAGAAATGAGAATGCATTGCTCATTCCTAGTTAACTTTGGCCAAGAAAGCATGTGGTTAGATAGGACAAGTGAAAGCATGGAGAAAGTTAGTTGTAAACATCTTAAAGCTGTTTTATCTGCAGTTTTAGTTGTTTGTTTCAGCTTTAATTTAGTCATTTTTACAACCTAAGAAAAAATTTTCTTAAAAATGATAATCGAACTATTTCTGAAAGGCCTGTGTATTTTATGGGAGAATTTCCTCCTTTTAATTTAGAAACAGTGATTATAGTCTCTCACTTAGAACATGTAATTCTACGTGGGCATAGATTGTTCTTTTTTAGTGAAAATGAATGGTTTAATACTTTGGCACTGAACAGATTTAAGAACAAAAAATACGTGAGTATTCCGTTTTTGCGGTGTGTTTTTAGAAAGTCCTTATCAATATAGACTGGCATTGAAATAATATGTGATTTATGCCTTGGAAATACTATAATTTCATTTTTTAAATGATGAGCTCTAAAATGTGCTTTAGAACCACTAGTAAATCATTTATTTATTTTGAGAAGAATTTGCATATATCCAGGGTTTGGCCATATGAACTTGAACAATTATGTGTTTATCACTGAGTACTCGTTAAGTTGTATTATTTTTTTTTATATTTATTTATTTGAAAAACAGAGTTACAGAGAGGCAGAGACAGAAGTCTTCCATCCGCTGGTTCACTCCCCAAGTGGCCACAATGGCCAGAGCTGGGCCGATCCGAAGCCATGAGGAACTTCCAGGTCTCCCACGTGGGTGCAGGGGCCCAAGAACTTGGGCCATCCTCCACTGCTTTCCCAGGCCATAACAGAGAGCAGGATCAAAAGTAGAGCAGCCAGGACTTGAACCGGTGCCTATATGGGATGCCGGCACTGCAGGCAGCAGCTTTACCCACTATGCCATGGAACCAGCCCCTAATTTGTATTTTTTAACATACCTAAGACATTCAGTCCAGAGGCAACTACTTAGTTTATCCAGGAGTAAATTGTTATGCAGCCTAGCATTTAAATACAGTAGACAACTGAATGACTAATGCTTGGTTTTACATATTTTGGAAAGTTTTGGAGATCTGCTCACCTGCCCACAATCTAGCCCTACATTTATTAGGAATCGTCCCACTCTCCTCCCTTCTTCCTGGCCAGGCCATGAGAGTAGGACTTCCTAGTTCTTGACCAGCTAAGCCCAGATAGAGTCCAATCTTAGCAGCAATGAAGGGTTAGCGCTTTGGGGAAACTGAAGAAGTAAGACTCTGTATGAAACAGGCTCTGCGTATTTTCTTGGTGTAAAAACCTCAGAAACAAATGTTTTTTCCTGTGGGGCAATCCTTTATTCTGTAACTCACTTGAACTCAATTCTCATCCTTATCGCGTGCCTTTGGCATTTACTCTGGGGTACCCCTGCATTCTGCCTCTACTGCATCAAGTAGAGGTTGTACAAGTAGTGATAGGTCCTGTTTGCTCCCTGTGCTACATGGGACTTCCACTTCAGTCTTTTTGCAAGTACTTCTTATTTACCTTTTTTCTCCTCTTAAAACATCCACAGTAAACATTCATTGCACACACACACACACACACACACAGTCTTTCAAATGAAGTCTTCAAAATGCTTGCTTTCCTTAAAGATACTGTAGATACCATGTGCCTTTATAGGAAATACAAGCTGAATGGGGAGTAGTATAGATAATCTAAAAATCACAGTACTTTGTAATTGCAGCGTTAGAAAAGTTCATCAATTTCAGCCACAGACAGACTAGGAAACTGAAATTTCTACTCAAGCTCATCCTTTTTCAGTCTTGTAATTTTAAACCCAGAGATGCTCCCTAACGAGAGTAGATTTTAGATGAGGGAAGCTGAAGTCTGGTGCATTCTTATCCAGCAGTCCCTTGGAAGCAATGGCAGTACTACTTCTTTGGGCTAGGAATTTGCTTGTGGTTGTAGAATTCACTGGATAGGAAAATAAGAGACAGCTATGGGCTGGCCCTATGGAAACACTTTGAGGCCGCTCAGCCTTGGTCCTGCTCTGCAAGGCCGGGCCTTCTCCACTTTGCGCACTTTCACTGGCCAAGGAGGTGACCACATTTGTAGATCTCATCTTCAACATGACTGCAATTAGCAAAGGGTTGTGTCCTAAGAATAGTGCTCCTGTCTTCCCTACACTGTCAGCTGGGATGTGGGGATGAGGAAGGGCAGACACAAGGGTAGAACCAGCACCACCACAAAATCATCCCAGCCTGCCTTCTTTCCCTTTTGGGTCTTCTGTATTCACTGTCAGGCTGTTGCCTTCCTCTTTTTTCTGGTTCTTTTCTTTGATTCCTTCAGTTTTTCCTTTCTACTTGGGTTCTTCTGTCTGCCTTCCTTTTTCTTTCACGTTTCTTTCTTCCTTCTTCCCCCTTGGCCTCTTGTTTTTTCTCCATACTCTTTGTATATCTTCCCTTCCTCTCTTTGTTTTTGTCCGTGTAATTTCTTCTCCCTCCTGACCACTTCTGACCTCCATGTGTGTTTCTCATTTCCACCTTTTTCTTGCCTTCAGCCTAATTATTGCAATTACATAGCTCAAAAGGCCTATCATTTTCATTTTCCTATTTACTGACATTGCAGTCTCTTCCACATTTAACACAGGTGGTAGTTTCCCTGTTCATGTCTCTGCCCTGGTCTGTCTCCTTCCCTAGTTGTTGTTGGAAAGTTCAGTAGTTTAAAACTGTGTCAGATTAAAACTTGTAAAACAACCAGGTAATAGAGGATTGAGAATATGTAAAAGATAATTCACAAGGTGATCAGTACATGTGTAGGTAACACAGAATGGACTGCATATAGATCTGATAGAAGTACAGTAAACTGTTCTGTTCATTTCTTAGATTGGAGGAACAAGAATGCCTACCCGTAGCCGCAGGAATCCAGTTTCCATGGAAACCAAAAGCAGTTGTTTGCCTGCTCAGCAAGTTGAAAATGAAGGAATGGCTTCAAATAAAAGAAAAATAACTTGAGGGACCATACCATGGAAAATGAAATTTTGAAAACCAGTTGTAACAATGCTTAATTTTGAAAAGTTTGAGGGGAAATAGGCCTAAAAGATCAGTAAGCAAGAGGAAATTTTTCCTTTAATATCTTCAAGTTGTTGGAGTGCCTTGAAAAATTATGCTGGAATGTGTCAAATAATGCAGTGTTCTACCCTTTACCCTGTTGTTTGAAGAGAATAGAGATGTATGTTAAAGCAGACATGACAGGGAAGTACATAAAGAAGGGAAATATTTTTACATTAGATCTTTTCCAAAAATTGTAAATAAGAAAATAACTTGCTTCTTTGAGAATAATATTTATCATTGTGTATTATGTTAATAATTAAAATCATATTGCCAGTGTTCACATTGGCTCAGAGGATTAAATACTGCCACATCAGAGGCAGTTATGAGCTTTGTCAATATTATTTCTGAATTGTTTGAACAGTTTTTGTATGCTACTTTAAAATGATAATTATTGCAGGCTAATAAAGTTAATACTTTAAAAATCTTGGTGAAATTCTGTTAAGCAAAAAATAAAAATAAGAAACTCCCTGCCTCTGAAGGCACAAGTTAATACTTTCCTTGTTGTGCAACCATCATTATGCTTAGAAGAAAAAAAAAAAGAAAACTTTCATGTATAACAGGTTTGGTGACGAGTATCTCTGAGCACAAATTCTAGCTGGGTGTTGAAATCACTACCGGAAGCAGAGAAGAGTATGATTCCAGGAAAAAAATGTGTTGTAACTGACAAGTTTAACATGGTAAAGCATGCCCTGTTCTCCCCTCATCCATGTGGTCAGCTTACATTTTCCAGGACCACAGATTAAAAGGGTATAATGAGGTGATTAAACTATGGCCAACTTAAGAAACAAACCTGTTTAATTTTTGTATTTCTGTTGAATGTTCACTGAAATTTTTAGAAAATGTGTCATTTGTAAAATACAAGTATTGTAAATCAAAGGCAATATTTTGTTTTTAGGGGGATTTTTTTCCCCGAGGCTGAAATGTCATCTCAAAATATTTGAAGTAACAGTTGACAAAAACATTTTTTTTAAGATTTATATATTGCCAGCGCCGTGGCTTACTAGGCTAATCCTCCGCCTTGCGGCGCCGGCACACCAGGTTCTAGTCCCGGTCGGGGCACCAGATTCTGTCCCGGTTGCCCCTCTTCCAGGCCAGCTCTCTGCTGTGGCCCAAGTGCTTGGGCCCTGCACCCCATGGGAGACCAGGATAAGTACCTGGCTCCTGCCATCGGATCAGCGCGGTGCGCCGGCCGCAGCGCGCCGGCCACGGCAGCCATTGGAGGGTGAACCAACAGCAAAAGGAAGACCTCTCTCTGTCTCTCTCTCTCACTGTCCACTCTGCCTGTCAAAAAAATTTTTATATATTGGGGGCTGGCACTGTTGGCATAGTGGATAAAGTGACCACCTGCAGTGCCGGCATCCCATAGGGGTGCCGGTTCGAGTCCCGGGTGCTCCACTTCCAATCCACCTCTCTGGTATGGTCTAGGAAGGCAGTAGAAGATGGCACAAGTCCTTGGGCCCCTGCACCCATGGGGGAGACCCGGTCCTGGCTCTTGGCTTTGGATTGGCACAGCTCCACCTGGTGCAGCCAGAGAGTGAACCAGTGGATGGAAGAACTTTCTCTCTGCCTCTTTCTGACACTTCTCTCTGTGTAACTCTGACTTTCAAATAAATCTTTAAAAATAAATAGAGGCTGGCGCTGTGGCTCACTTGGTTAATCCTCAGCCTGTGGCGCCTGCATCCCATATGGGAGCTGGGTTCTAGTCCCGGTAGCTTCTCTTCCAGTCCAGCTCTCTGCTGTGGCCTGGGAGGGCAGTGGAGGATGGCCCAAGTGCTTGGGCCCCTGCACCCACATGAGAAACCAGGAAGAAGCACCTGGCTCCTGGCTTCGGCTCAGCACAGCACCAGCTGTAACGGCCATTTGGGGAGTGAACCAATGGAAGGAAGACCTTTCTGTCATTCTATCTCAACTCTACCTGTCAAAATATTTATTTACTTGTTTGTTTGTTTGAAAGACAGTTACAGAGAGAGAAGGAGAAACAGAAATCTTAACATCTGCTGCTTCACTCCCCAAATGACCACAAAAGCCAGAACTGGCCCGATCTAAAGTTGGGCCACCTGCTGCTGCTTTCCCGAGCACATTAGCAGGGAGTTGAATCAGAAGTGGAGCAGCTGGGACTCAAACTGATGCCCACATTGAATGCCTATACCACAGGCAACCGCACAGTTGAAAATTTCTGTCTTTAAGTTTTATTAGGTTTTAATTTTTTGGATTTGTGATAAAATTTTTAATTTTTCATTTTACTTGAAATTCATAAAGAGAGCAATCTTCCATCTACTGGTCCACTTCCCAAACAGCCACAGTAGTGTTTGCTGGACCAGGCTGGCACCAGAAGCCTGGATCTCAACTTGGGTCTCCTGGGTGGATTTCAAGGACCCAGGTACTTGAACCATCACCTCCCACAGTGCGTATTAGCAAGAAGGTGCAAATGGAGGTAAAACTGGTACTCAAATCCAGGCACTCTGCACTTCCCAAGTGGCAGGGTAACCACTGCATCAAATACCCTCCCCTAAAATATTTTTAAATAATGTAGTAAATAATTATTAATACATGTTATCTTAGGTATTTTAATTTATCACTTCCTCATCCTGCCATCTCCTTTCTTTAAAGCACTGAGCTTTTTTTAAAAACATTAGGTCACATATTCCAGAAATGTTTTAGTTATGAATCATTGGCTAATGAGCCAAGCGAGCGGCCAGGGGTTCCCTTGGAACTAAACTAGTTAGTAAAAGGGTGGGCAGTGACTGCTTCAGACTTCTGAGAACCAGGAATACTTGGTTTTCATTTTTTTCATGTAGCCTTTTTAATTATTATTTTACTATCTACATAGTAAAATGTGTGTTCTTGCAAGTGACTGTTTTGAATTATCTTTGCCTGACTGATATAAAGCTAGCTTCTCACTGGTGCTTAATGAAACCTTTCTAACATATCTAATTGTGCCTCATTTTCTTTTACTGATTTTTAGTAGTAAGAATTTATAAGCAAGAAAGTGACATTAACATGAGCAAAGACATTTATATAAAAAAAAAAATCACACATCAGGATGTAATGAACTTGGCCCCCTTATACATTACTGGTAAGATTCACTTTTTGGAAAATAGTTTACTTCAGTGAATATGTCAGTACAGCTGTATGCCACACAGTCTAAAGTAGTTAACCATATTTATCATACTTTCTTCTTGAAAAGACCAGATCTAACCATATTTATCATACTTTCTTCTTGAGTGGACCACAGATTCTTCAGGGATAAGAGCATATTTTTTTTTCACCATCAAATAACATCTGATACAGAGGCTGTCAGCAGTTCAGTAGATACAAGTTGTATGCATGAATGAACAAATACATAGATAGCAAGGATAATTTTTTTCTTCAGGAGCTCATATTCTAATGGAGGACTCAATACCAATCTGTGTGATAAATGCTCCAATAAAATAATATGAGAGCCATGCAACCAGGTCCTGATGGTTTAAGATTTTCTGAGACAAAGCTTAAGTGATGTCTTTTTAAACATGAGTGGATGATATAAGGCTAGAATGAGAGATGTAACAGGATGAAAGAAAGCAGCATATGAAAAGGTGGAAGATAACCAGATTGTAGGCTGTGAACATGAGATGTTAGGATTTGGTCCTGTACAAAGAACCAATAGAGAAGTCTAATATGTCTGGAAAGATTTTGTTGGCTTTAGACAAGCAAACACAGTGGAAGTGGGGAGGAAGAAAAGTGAGAAGACTGTGGTAAAAGCCTAGAATTTACATAGGAGGGAAGAGAGAAAAACTAGAAATAAGAGTAAGCTCAAGTGATAGAGAAAAGACTGCTCACTTACACAGCTGGTAGGCAAAGTCAAATGTGGTTTCCAGTTTCCTCCTCGGGAATATTGGATGAATTGTGGCATTCATTGAGAAAAAGTTCCATTAAAGCATTCATGTCCTTGAACCATTTGTACTACTTGGAGTCTAGGTTTGTGTGCTGCACAGTTTCTGTGAGATAGGAGTGCACGTGCCCCTCAGCTAAGGACCTCCAGCTCAAGGCTTCCCGTGAAAAGTGCAGGCAAGCTGTGGGTTAGAGCTGCAGGCCCCTGAAGCTTTGACTGGTTGCAGCAGCTGCTTCCAAGAAAGTTCTCTCACACTGGAAGTGGTGGCCTCTGTTTCTCACTGGTTGTTGCAGCAAGTCTCAGATCCTTTCCATGTGTCCTCAAAACAAGGTAGCTGGCTGGTATCAGCAATCTGAGAGCAAGGAAGAAGCAACAGTGTCTCATGAGTGTAGCCTCAGAAGTCAGATACATTCTGCTTGTTAGAAACAAGTCACTAACCCCACATTCCTGAGCTCTACATCTTGGAGGGCAGAGTGCGAGAACTGTTGAACCACATATATATACCATGAACATTTTCAAGGGATATAGGAGAATTAGGTTTAGGCCGGAGAGAGAAGAAAGGACACATTAAAGTGTGGTATTGGCAACTTGTTAAATCTGAGGCAGAACTAGTTGTGTCAAAGGTAATTGAACCCTTGAGCCTTGGACTTAAGTTTCATGTCCTCAGTACAGATTTGGCAGTCATTGGTTTGTCTGTGGTGATTGAAATCCAGGCAAAGGATAAAGGGACACAGCAGAAATGAGTAAAATAAGGAGAAGGCCATGAATGGAGCACTAGGAAAGGACAAGTTATATTAAACTGGCTAGCAGGGAAGTTGGACCGCAAAAGTAAGAACCAGGTGGAATGTGAGACGTAAGCCATGAAATTCCTCACTGCCAGCTGCTCACAGCTAGCTGACAGTTTTGATCTTTGCAACTGCAAAAGGAAATTCACCCATTCGTTTCCAGTTCCCAGATACTGGGTTTGGATACCACGAACATTGTGCAAGTAGAATGGAAAGTGGGCTTAGAAGGGAGAGAACATTTTATTTCCTCATTGTATTACCAACATGTTACATCTGCTGTTCCTAATGGACCTGAAGTAAAAGTATTAAGGTGTTTGCTGTGTTATGTTCGTAGACAGGTGGTACTTTTTAAATCACATCTCAGAATAGTTGATATGAAGACTTACTGAGGTTTTTCTGTTTGTTTGTTTGTTTTTGTTTTTGTTTTTGACAGATAGAGTTAGACAATGAGAGAGACAGAGAGAAAGGTCTTCCTTCCGTTGGTTCACTCCCCAAATGACTGCTACAGTCGAAGCTGCACAGATCCGAAGCCAGGAGCCAGGTGCTTCTTCCTGGTCTCCCATGCGGGTGCAGGGGCCAAGCACTTGGGCCATCCTCCACTGCCTTCCCAGGCCACAGCAGAGAGCTGGACTGGAACATGAGCAACCAGGACTAGAACTTGATGCCCATATGGGATGCCAGCACCACAGGTGGAGGATTAACCAAGTGAGCCACGGCGCTGGCCCCAAGACTTACTGAGTTTCTACTTGAGATATGGAGTTAAAGGAGATGCATGTCACTGATCCTTCCACCTGTGGCTTATGTCCGTACCACTTCCCGTGGTATTTAATAGACAG